TCAAAATCGATTACTTGATTTAATATCAATTAAAATAAGAAGACTTTCATCAACGAAATTAATTCGAGTGGCATGTAATTTAAGTTTTAAGTTAAAGATTTGTGTATGAAAAAAAAAATCGTTGAGAGACTCACCTGTGACGAATTTAAAAATATTTTTGTAGGGAAATACGCATATTAATTATTGAATCTTTTATTAGGGAGTGAGCACAAGTAAAATTTCAGGGGTATACACCTATAGTGGAATCGACAACTAATATAAGGAAATTCATATTTTAGGGTTGACACGTGTTCAGCCTGAGTATGCTTTGTATCCTCCATCGAAACTCACCCATTAAAACTAGATGTGTGATACGGGTTAGTCAATCTTTTCAAGACAAAATCCTGATAATTGGGAGGATGACAAAAATAATAATTTACAACATCGACATGTTTAATTAATTTCTCAAACTAATTGTCCCCTGGAATTTGCTTAAAATCTCAATTATTTTTATTTCAAACAATTTAGGAATATTTAAATATCAAATCGAATTAATAACAAAAATAAATATTTAAATAACAAGCCATGTTTGACCTAACCCTAATTAAACACAATTGCATGATAGAATATTTTAATTAATTGTTGTGAATGAGGTTAACCTAATTGGAATCTGTTTCCCATAATTCGTTGATTGTGTCAGTTGGGTGGGAACATTTGGCGTTGCTTTAGTGCAACCAAGAAAAATAAAGATTCGGAAATCTCTTCACTTATTTATTTTATTCTCTAGAATTAGATTCTCTTTTTAGGTCATATCTCCAATATTACTCTTAAAATACCAATACTTAGCCGCGATAACAACAACATTATACATTAAAAACCAGACATTGGCTATGCTTAACACGTTCACAAGAAAAAATCGCAATTAAAAACAAAAAATATATAATATTTGTTATATAAAATATCTATTAATTATACATACTCCTAATTTATTTTTAGGGTAAACTATAAAATTAGTACCTGAATTATTAGTTTTGGTCCATTTTAATACATAAACTTTCATTTCTTTCAAAATCAATACTAACGTTTAGTTTTTGTTTCATTTTTTATTCTACAATTAAAAAGTTAATGTGTTTCGTAACTAAACTGTTAGTTTTTGTCTGTTTTAATACATAAACTTTAAAAAAAAATAAAAACTTAATGTTAAATTTTAAAAGGATTTACTAAAATGAAATAAAAACTGAATTTTAAGTATAGTTTTAAAAATTTGAAGTTTAGATACTAAAACGAATCAAAACTGATAGTTTAACTACTAAATGTATTATTTACCCTTATTTTTAAAACGTGACAAGCGTTAACAGAATATATCATTCTACACAAGACTACGTGTCTTTCGTGAATAATTACGAGACGCTACGTGTCTCTCTTTCATAATTACGCAGAAGAATTTAGGATCTTCTTAATTGGAAATTAAATCAATGATTGAAAATCTGGGAAATTCCCGAAACACGGATTTGAGAGAGGCGTGAAGCGAAATTAAGCATTTATATTTAATTTTTTTTATTTATCATTTACACTTAATATTAAATATACAAATCCACATATCATTAATTAATAGCGTATTTGCATATATTTTGTTAAAATTGATCTTGAATAATGTATAATACTAATGTCCTAAATAATAGCACGCGTGATTGATTTGGTCCCCTTTGATAATCACCTAGCGTTCAAAAATTATAAACCATGGATTCAAAATCAAACAAGAGGAGCATGAAGCCCCGTGTGGGGGCTATCTGAGTCAAGAATACAAGATGCATGTGGAATGTGGATATGAATTAAGGGCAGGAAATAAATTATTTGTATTAAAAAAAAGGAAGGCATAAGAGAGGATAAGGAAAGGGTAAATCGGTAAATGGGCATTGTAGAGGAGATAGGAACGAGGGTGGAGGGTGAAAGAGGATATGGGGTGTCAAAGAGCTGGACTCCATACGTGGCAGTGGCACCGATGCTTTTCAATGACGTTAGCTGTCAGTTTTTTGTTGTTTCAGTGTTTCATTGATGCCTATTCTATTGTGATAATAAAATTGGTCTAATAATACACTGTGACTCGAAGGCTAAGCCCATAGCTTCTACCGAAAACCGTTGGTTGCTTTATCCCATGCAAAAGTTTCGAGATAATATTTTAGAAAAAATTAATTTACGAGATAAAGCCCTTACAAGATTAATTGCTTAAATAATGTAAAATTTACAGTGTTGACCGTAGGTCGTCATGCCTTCTGAGCGACCTACTAGGTCGTCATGTCTTCCCGGCGAGCTACAAGAGATTGTATGTGCCATGCACGTCCCAACACGCTGGGCATCCGAGGCATGGCGACCTATGTGTTGGGACGTGCATGTGCCATGCAACACGTTTATTCTCTCTGTTTGAGCAAGGGTAGGTCTCCCGGAGTGCATGGCGACCTACGGCCAACACTGTGAATTTCACCCTATTTGAGCAATTAATCTTGGGAGTGCATTAGCTCGTGAATTAATTTCTTTCAGAACATTATCTCGAAAGTTTTGCCTCCCTTTCCACTTGAAAACCAAAAGTTACAAATACATTATAGGGTCATGTACTTTTTAAAAAAATAATATGGCCCTCATATTATCTTTTTCTTCAATGTGATCCTCTAATTCGAAAAATAAATTCAATGTGATCTCTTGGTCAATGTATTTTCGTGGTTGACCATTGCGATATTGATGTGACAGTTCACGGTGTTGAGATGACAGTCCAAGGAGGCAAATTAATGTGTCATATGACATGATAGATTAATTAAATTGGTAACTTAAATGTGACAGATGAACTACCACATTAACATCGTAGACCATTATGTTAACACCGTGCACTGAAACGTCAATATGATAATAGTCAACGATAAAAAATATTAATCAAAAGATCACATTAAATTTATTTTCTAAATTAAAGAATCACATCAAAAAATATATAATACGAATGCCACATTTATTTTTTTCAAAAAAATAAAAAAGACTTCTAATGTATTTTTGCCAAACCCAAAAACAGTTCTCTCAATTTTACCCGACACACGGCGTTTAACCAAACCTAACCCCAGGTGTGGTTAGCACTCCCCCACTCTCCTTTCACTGTGCTATTTTCTTATTTTTCACCTCAAACGTTAACGTCTCGTTTCCTTTGCATTCCTAAATCTAACACTTTCTTAAATATTATATTCATATGAAAATATATCGACTACCACACCATCAATTTTTCTTTAAAGATTGTACTTTTTTTGGTAAATTTTGATAATATTAGTTTTTCATTAAAAAATTGGATTAATTATGTATTTAGTCGGCAACCTATTTACTTATTTCGGCTTTTCCAACACACCTTCAAATTGAATAACTTAACAAATGAAGTTGAATATATGATATATATATTAAGAATTAAGATTTTGATTTTTAAATTTAGAATTAATAAATTAAAAATTAAAGTGTTATATTTTAAATTTTAAAGGGTAGGATATATGATAATATTTAAAAGATTAAAATATTTCATTAATAACATATTAAATATTACATTTCAAATGTATTTTAATTCATCTCACATTGACTAAAATCGCTTTATTCAAACCCAATAAACGATACCAGCTGTGTAGCATTAACTTTCTTATATAACAAGAAGTTTAATCTAATGGCATAAATAAAGAAAAAAAGGAAAAGCAACTCATATAAATGCTAATTCAAAAATGTCATAATTGTGATATGAAAATTTCATTTTTGGCCTACATATTACAAGATCGACGCTAAATTCACAGCACATCGTATAAATTTTTTTGGCATAAATGGGAAATTACCTAATCAAATCTATAAAATAAATAAAAAGAAAATTATAACTTATGTGAGTTGGTTAAGATAACGTACCAAAATTAAAATAGGTTTAAGGGTGATCTATGTCTATGTAGTAAGTTCAATTTATCATTTTCGTCTCTATCGTATTTTCGCATCAGTTTAATCCTCAAACTAGTTTAATTGCATCGTTCTATACCCTACCCTAACTTGAAATCTTAAAATATGCACTCAAGATATGGTTTAAGGCTTATGGTGTTGGGTCTAAATGTTGTGTTTAGGATTTAGGGTTTATAATTTAGGAGTAGACTATATATATATACAATCGAAAAACTTCGAGTATGGTTGTAAATGAAACGAGACATATCGCGAGTTATTCGAGATCGACTCGATCAAAGCTCAATAAATACTCGGATCGAATGGACTCGACTCGAGTTCTTAACGAGCTGAAATGAGCTACTCGATATTCGACTCGAAAAGCTCGTGAGCAGCTCGAAAATATAATACATTAAGATTTTATTTAAAAAATAAATTAATAATAATATTAATATTTATGTATTGATTTTTTTAAAATACAGTAAGATTTCATGTATTTAAAGTTCATGTTCGAGTTTGAGGCTTCAACCAAGTTAAGTTTAAGAATTTTTTTTCATTTCGAGCCTTTTCGAGCTGCTCACGAGCTTCAGTTCAAGATTTCGAGTTCGAGTCGAGCTTGAAAATTTTAAGCTCGCGAGTTTTCGAGTCGAGTCGAGCTCCATTTCAGAGTTTTCGAGTCGAGTCGAGCTCAGCAATACTTGAGCTCGACTCGGCTCGTTTACACCCCTAACTTCGAGAGCTAAATTGATGCGAAAATACGATAAGGACAAAAGTAATAAATTAAGTCTACTAAAGGAAGAAACAAAAGTTACCTTTTACCTTAAAAATAATCCTCATACCTTATTTTAAATTTAATAAAACATCATATTCAAAATATAAAAAAAAAATCAGTGTGAAAATAAGGAAAAATAAGAATGACTCGCTACAGGCGCAAATAGGCATGAAAGATAAATAAACAAAAGTTGAGAGGCACAATCGCAAAACAGAAAAACTAAAAGTCCCGACTCCGAAAATATTGGGAAATTTCAGAGTTACTGTCCCCTCCCCCATCCTATAAATAGGTGGCTGGAGTGAAGCTAGGTTTGCCGAACTGAACAGCCAAACACGGCTCTTTAGAAATTTAGAAACAAAAATATTCTATATTTTTTTCTTTTCTTCCGCAATATCTTTATTGGAACACACTAAAATAAATGGCGGCATCTTCTAGAAAATCTAGTGGACCGGTTCTCCGATCACTTTCACCATCCGGCCGATTCAGTTCTCTCTACGCTTCACAGTCTCCATCTTCTTCTTCCTCGGCCTTTGCGTATTCGAGTTCAAGCTTCTCTTCACGCTCTTCAACCTTTTTTAATCAACAAAGATCTATTTCTCCTCCGCGTGTCAATCTCTATAAACACTCTTCATCTTCGCCGTCCGTGAGGTTCTCGCTTGATAACCGTCCGATTTCCCCGAACCGGTTTTCGGCTGTCGGTAGAAATACCGAGGCGTTAAAGAATTTACAGAGCAAGCAGCCAAAGCGTACTTGTATGTGCTCTCCTACGACGCATCCTGGATCTTTCCGTTGCAGCCTTCATAAGAGTTTCAATAATCCGCACTCGGCGTCCGGTTATGCTCCTAGTAATCGGCTTAACGCGCGTAGATCTGCGATGACGAACTCGTTAGTTAGAATTGGAGGAGTCGAAGGAGATTTGGTTAGGAGAGCTTTGTCGGCGTTGATTAGACCATCCTCTCACCAGCAGCGTCGTCGTGCAGCTTTTCAGCCTAGGCCAAGCCGGCTCTCCGTGATGTCTAAAGCCGATGATTAATGATTGTTCCTTTTGTGGTATGTCAAATTTTTTACGAGGTTTTTGGGTAAGTCTCTGAGATTTTCCGGTTATTGGAAGTCGAGCTTTGTAGTAGCGGCGAAAATATTGGCGGTGGAGTTGGAATCCGGCGATGATGTTGGAGATCTTGAGAATGGGGTCATGGACCTGGGGCAGATTTGGTTGCTAGTACTCCGGGTGACCCAAACTTTTGAATCAGATCATCATATTACATATACTTTATTAGTGTAAATACACATATATTTGCAGCCAATGGCAAATTTGAGGAAGTTTTGGACAAAAAAATCGTGACAAAAAACTAATCTACTATAATTAGGCTTGATTAAAATCTAAGAAGTCCAGATCTCAGTTTTGATTGGTTTTTAAGTTTTATTTCTTCCATTCGTTTTGCTCTCCAAACACCATTTCATCCCAACGCTACCTTTCTCAATCCATTTTCTTCCCAATTTCCCGTTTCCAAAATCTTCAGCGTCATCCGTTTGATCTTTTTCTTTTCTCATTACTCTTTTTGTTTTAATTTCTTCACCTTTCGGTAATCTAACCCTCTATTTTTTTTTTACTTCCCGTAATTTCGATCTCTGAAATCTAGTATTTTATTTTGATTTAATGTTGATACTTTCCATTTGATTTTTGCAGGCATTGGAACTTCTCCGATCGGTGATTTTACTTGGATTCCGGGAAATGTGAATTTAGGTTTTACTTGGACAAAATCCATGGATGAAATAATCAGAACGTTGGAGAGGATCGAAAGTTCGTCCATGGATGAAAAACTGAACCTTGGAGAAGATCGAAAGTTCGTCCATGGATAAAATAAACTGAACGTTGGAGAAGATCGAATTGAACTTTCGAGAACTGAAGTGAAATCCATTGATTTCAATGATGAAAACTCGAGCTACAGCATGAGCATGGACCCTTTGCAAAACTTGCTAGAAAATAAGGTGAAATTATTAACTGAAACTACCCAAAAAACTTGAAGATGACAGAAATGATGAGGAAGGAGTACCCGAGATTGAGCAATATTTACATTGGGAGGTGACATGTGATAATCAATACTTTTCTAGGTGTCTCCTTTGTGTCGCAATTGAGCAGCATTAAAAACAAATTACCACTAGGATAAGAACTAGTCAATGGTAAAGCCCACAGAAACTCAGAAAGACACGACTTCACCAGAAACTCAATACTTCATTAAGCCCACAGTAACTCAATAGACCACAGAAATTCGGGAGGGGTTATTTAGCAGAAACTCAATAGCCAACAAGAGCTCAACAGACCACAGAAACAATTAAATTTAAAAAGTTAAATCGGATACTATTTTCTTTATATTTTTGTCTAAATAAATACAATTTTTTGGTATCATGTTGTATAAATATAAATCCCAAAGTTTCTTCAAACCAAAATCTTCGTAATTCAAGTTGATTCAACCTGTATACTTTTCATTTGAGCTTTAGTTAAAGAATAAGTACATAAATTAGGAAACCGCCCCTCCACTCTATTGTCATTATGTTGGTGGCGCCCAAATGGGTCCAGAAAACTGGCCAGCTTTGAAATCATGAAAGGGCCATAGATAGATAGATAGAGATAAATCGATTCGCATAGCAACTAGCATACGGGACCATTCGATTCATTTTATATCACCGCTATCTGTCAGATACTCCTGCATCCCCAAAGGTATCACCCAATGTCTCCCTCCCATCTAAGTGGGGAAAAATACTTCATTATTATTTTATTGCAGTCCGTTTTGCGGGTCGTGACAAATCCATGTGCACGAGCCAACCATGTGGGTGTGTTGCTGAATGCTACCTGACTCACCCTGTTTGTTTCTCTTTTCAAAGGATAACGAGGGGTCTGAGATTTCTATTAATCTAGCAAAATAATAGTTAATCTTTTGTCTCTTAGTGATTTTAAGTCATCTATCTAGTGTATATTTCATGTTGAGATTTCCAATGTGTTGAGATGGTGCTGAAACCAGTAAAAATCATAGTGATGTTAGATTCCATCAATTCAAATCTCGGACGGGCCTACCATCTACCACTAATTGGGAAACTAGTTGTTCGTATCCTTGTCAAAATGTGATTTTTTTCCAATAACAAGAACCGGCCAGCAAGAGAGTGACGCCATGGCCGTGTCTGGGAATGGATAAAAGACGTAAAAGAGCGGCAAATCACCAATAAATACTGAAAAAGATGATGTCGATCTGCCTGCCTGATAGACTTCCCCATTGTTTTTTTTTTTATGTTCGTAGGCCAGCCAAGGTGATTGCCGCGCAAAAGATTTGCGTTAACTTTTAGGACGTAGGACAGTCAGAGTACATGTGACTTATTGTACTAAATTATAATCTTACAGTTTTGAAGGGATTGAAAAGAAACTATACGGTTTCAAGAATAAAATAAATGCTTTTCAAGCTTCTTCTTTAGTGAACAGGAAGCTGTAATACTTTGAAGCAAAAGGAATTTTCAAAGTTAAAACCAATTACGAGGGGTATAGTGAAGACCTCTTTTTGCTTTAAGAAAAGTTTTCCCATTTTGCTGCGCTTGAACTCTAAATTTATGCTTTCATGTTGTTGCACTTTAAGATTCTTAAAACCCTTTAGTGTGTCCTTTCATGGTGTCCCATTCGAAGAAGATGTGTTTCCTTGTGGTTGGAGGACTACTTGCAATGAAGCTAAAAGTGGAACATCCACATTGGGCTATAGAACTGTCCCCAGAGCATACGGCTTAACCAACTCCCGTGTCTGCTCTTTTCTTTTGTTTTTAATCTCTCTTTTTAATTAGCTAGTTTCAAGTATTGGAGATGTTCTTTGATACTTGGATTTTCCCAGATGTAAGTTGAGGATCTTCTAAGATTAGATTGGAGTTGTTTGTGAGTTTCCCAAGTGCCTTGTAGGGTTCCAACGGTACGTTACTAGGAATATGCTATATGGTGTTCAATTCTCTATCATGATCCGTCTCTGTGCTTTTCGGTTTGAAGCATTTTGGTATATTTTACAATTTCATGTCACTAGAAAATCCTCTTGGAGCATTCCTCTTCTCGGGGCTCCTAGCAGGATATATATACGATACTGAGGCTGCAAAGCAGGCAGCATAGACTCGGTCTGATCAGCTCAAGCATTTCATGCATCGGTCCAAACTGGCTTTAGGCTTACTTTCCTGGTCCTTGCTGGTCTCTGCGGTGTGGGTTCGGTAGCAAGCATCATTCTACCTCAGAGGATTTGGCCTGTTTACCGAATGCTTTTAGGCTGCCCCAAACTTCTCATCGCTGAGATTGTCGAGATGGAATGCGGTTTATGCCTGGGGCCCTGGATGCTCGTCTATTTTACTCAACACGCGCACAAGAACTCTGATTTTTACGGCCCTTGCTCTAATTATATCTAGAACAACATTATGCATAGTTGACGTACCATGATAATGGAGACGGCTAATTTTAGCTGGACATAAAGGCACCCATGAAGTACTTACGATCAACCTATACTCTTTCTTTATCTGAATGTTTGTGTAGAAGAAGCCAGAAACCCAAACACGGGATTATCGATAATTATCATAGCGAATGGCAGCCTCTGCGGATTAGCTGTTGATCGTATCTTAAATTCTCAGCAGGCAGAGTTAAATTCCTTTGTGTTTATAGACAAGAACTTTAAAAAACCTTAGATGTTGTGGATACAATATTTAAAGATAAATTGAATAAGGGAGGCTGGTATTTAAGACGGTAGCTGGCTCTTGTTAAAGAATTTGAGTAAAGCCATATCGACCACATTGAAATGCAGGATCAAAATCATTGAATTCTTTTAGTATTACGTTTCCTACTTTTGAAGCAGCTAGTTAATGTCTACACCTCAAAACATTACTCTCTAGCAGCATTTAGTGTGAAAATTAACATCTTTGCAATATTGAAGAAGATCAACCACTTTACTTCAACAAAAAGATGCATGCATTTGCATACATGGCAAAAAAAATCTGGGAAAGCTCACACCACAGATTTTTTTCCATTACAGAGCATGAAAGCTGCCTATATGAAGGATTTTACAAAGCAAGAAGATCCTAGCAAACCATAAACCTTAAAGGATATATATGTTTAGAAACTTTAGGTCACCTAAACTCAAAAGGAATACAAACTGTTCAATGCTACTAACCTTATATCAGATTCACCTGCATAAAAACGCAGGTGTTACCAGTCATACAAGGCCAGAGGAAAGAAAGATTCCTCGGACGTGATCAAGTGGGTTTCATGTCCTGAAACAGTTCTGCCCATAATGTTTGATCATCAAAGTCATGGCCTGCTTTTTCCTTGTTGTAATGATCACCATGCACCTTTGGGCTTGGAGTTCTTGCGTAATGAAGAGGTCCAGACAGTTTTGGGCTCCTCCGCCCATTTGTGAGCATCAACCTCTCTTGTGCTGCCATTGAAACATCTGCCGGACCAGAAGTTATGGGGCTCCTATAATTGAACACCATTTTCTCCTGCATTTTTCTATCAAGGGGCCCCGATAATTTCAAGCTCCTAGGAGGGACCAGCGACTTCTCTTGTCCCCTGTAGTCCATGGGACCAGATTTTGCTACCTTCCTGCTTCTCACCACTGGCTGCTCAATCTTCATCACCTCCTTCTCGTTCTTGCCCTTCCGTGACAACGTAAGCGCTACTCTCCACTGATCTTGATGACGAACCGGCTCCAGCAACGGCTTAATCGAGTTATTCTCGTGATGAACCAACTTGTTAACGTACTTGTTGAAGCACTTTCTCGTACTTTTGTTGATGGCCAAAATGAGCTTGGTCAGGCTGTTAGGTGCTTCTCCGGTTTCCTTCCTAGCGAGCTTGAGAATCTCCAGCCTATGCTTAGCAACTGAAATTCCCATGCTCTGAAGAAACTCATGGTTGAAGTACGCTAAGTCCTCCTTTTCGAGCTCGTTGCGAGAAAAGGCAAAGCCATACTCATAGACGAGTGAGGGCTCAAGAGCAGTTTTTGTCAACCAAGAGTACCAGTCCATTGATTTGGTGCTCGCCTCAGACCATAGGATGCTCAAAAAATGGTTGGTTTATATAATGCTAGAAGATGGTTGCATGTGACAAGTGGTCCATGCCTTGGAGCTCTTTTTTTTGTATACTATACAGTTATAAAGTAGTTTCTATTCTAAAAAAAAAAAAGTAGACTGTTTATTTGCGTATACACCGTAAACAATTACTTAATTGTTCGAATCTAAAACCTTAATAGATAATAACATTACCTTAACAAATAAGAAGGTGAAGAGTAAGTAAATGTGGTGGGTGCATGTGGGTGAACATATCTGTTCCGATGTAATTGAAAATTGGATGGTATTAGAAAGCGACACTGTGGAATTTACCCACCCTTATCTTCATATGATTTCATCAATTCGTCTTTACTTTGGGCGCATGTGCTTGCTTCGAGTAAGCGATCAACATCTTCCGATAAAACCAAAAAATTATATCACATTCCGATTTTGCATATATGGTCGACAGTTACTCATTTCATCAACCTTATCTCTTTTTTCCCGTGAAAATTTCATTAGCGAAAGGTTGAATTCATACGCGCTTAGTGGAATGAGAATGCGTATATCCATTTCATTGGAAAGGTGTTTATAGAAGCATTAATTGTTTCTAGGTGCAACCGATGTTTGTGTTGAGAAATGCCAGAAAAGCGTGCTGCCAATTGCGTATTGGCCCCAAGCTCATGGCATTGGCAAAAGGGATTGAAGTGGGCTGACTGTTCTGTTCCCACTTTTTTTTCATTACCGTGGTAGGGAAAGGTGGCTTAAACTTGGCCCATAACATGCTTTCTGAAAATGTTGAGCCAATCATCATCTGTAGTTGAATCATAATGTTTACCAGACCTAATTGGGTCGAATAGATTTCGTGTTGAAGAAGGCTCGTTAAAATTTCGTCTTTGTGATACGTTTATCTCTGTTTTTGTGATACATTTATCTCTATTTTTGTGATATTTTTCTCTGCCTTTTGGTAGTTCTCGTTCGTTTGATTGTTCTTTTTAGTTTATATTTTTTCTCAGGGTTGGATTTGACATCACCACGACTGATCAAGATGACGCTTATTTGTTATCATGTTGATCTTCCATGCTTTGGACCCTAATATTGATTTGGATAAGCGTTTTTGTTTTGCGTTCGTGGATAGATTTCTCACTTCGCTCGACTCTGATTTGCGATTTATCGATGATCTTTCAGTAGTTTCATCCCCTTTTGTGATTCGTTTATCGATGCGATCAGATTTGTTCGTATCTTTATTTTAACCGACCCTTTTAGTTATGTTTTTCAATCTTTTCCTTTTGTTTTGTCTTCTTGTGATTTAGGTGGCTAGTTTTTCCGTCAATGATTATAGTAAAATATCCAAATTATATTTTAATTTACAGTTATACTTGTAAATCTTCATTATAATTCTCGATATTTTCTACTTTTAACAAAACTAGCATCTTTCTATAAAATAAATTTTGACTTAAATTCGGATGATCAAAAATCCAACTCGACTCGATCTTTAATCATACTAGAGAAGACACTATTCTTGGTGGGCAGCAAGGTGCCTGTATGCGAAAGCCGGTGAAAAGGGCCTAAAAGTCATCCGAATTTTTTTGTGACAAATTCCAATATATTTTTTTTGTCTTTCCAACATTAAATTCACATAATAATCTAAAAAAAGAAATTTATTTATTTAATAAAACTCATCATCTCGATGTGACGTTTTTACAAAAAATATTAAAATATTAGACACATAATATAAAAATTATATCTCACACCTTGAACCGTAGAAAATGATGTAAATCCTAAATTAATTTTAGATGTGTTCTATTGGGCCATTTAATTAAAGCTCCTGTTGGGGGGAAAGACCACTGTGTATGCCTGGTGATAGATTATTTCAACTTGACAACTACTGGCATACCAAATTGGGGTTTGAAATATGTTGAAAGGTTTAGTTGGGTATAAATTAAAATTTAGGCTCATATTTTGAGTATAAGTTTATTTCGTCCTTAATTTGCTATTGGTAAATGAAGTGTTTTTATTTTTTCAGAACCCAAATTGTTAGCACCATAGATGTTAGGGGTGTGAGCGTTTAATGTGAAGAGATTAAAAATTATATTTGAACATATATTGTCTTGTACTTACCCCAGATTAACAAGAAAAAGTTTATTCAGGAAAGAATGAGAGAAAAACGAATGAACGAAGAAGATGAATTTTGACTTATGTTACGGTATGGTATGCAACTTGAAATCTTTTAATTTTTGTTTCGTTTCAACAATTGGATTACTTATACATAAAAACCTTAAGTTTCCCACTTTTATAACTTAGTCCTTCCCTAATATTTGATTATAATTTCTTCATCTTATTCAATCCAACCTATTATTACCCCTTATAACTTATATCAACCCCTTTCTAATCTATGATTAATTTCCATGGATTGAAAATCTCCAGCAAGAGCGTCTCTGCTTACAGTGTATGATGTGGAATTGACGGAAGTTGTATATAAGCTATGAGTGGACCCTTAATTGTGGGTTATGAATGGATTTCTTGGAGGGGTGGTCCCTTTTGTTGCAGTATATGAAGGGCCAAGGTTGCAGAATTCATAAAATAGATGTGATGATGAAGATGGGGTCTAAATTGTTGGGTATGGTTGTGTTGGCGTTTGTGATGGTATGGTGTGAGGGTAGGATGAATTTACAAATACTTGAGATGGTCAAACTGTGATCTTTTATTGGACTAATCTATAAGACAAAAACTTTCATTTAAGGACCAAAACCATTGCCTGCCCGTACAGCTTCGTCCCAACAAATCATACAGGGGCAAAGGCACACCAGAATCACACCAACTTAACACAACCCACGTGATGTCAGTGGTTAAAGGATTCATTATTATTCCTTGAAGTCTCAGATTCGAGCACCGTAAATGTCAGGAGTGTGAATGTTCATTATCAAATGATTAAGAGTATTTGAACATGTACTTTCTTGTATTTACCCCGAATGTATAAAAATATTTTAACACGTTCTTTAACGTGTGTATATATATATATTTAAAAATAAACTTCCATGTTCATAATTGTATCAAACTAGTATTTACATATTAAATTAAAATATAATTTCAAGATCCTTTTGCTATATCAAATCAAATTAATGTCACAATAAAACTATATAAGATAGAAAGATGTATGAATTCATCAAAATTAAATTTAGTTTGAAAAAAAATTCATTAAAACAAAAGCTTAATTACATATTTTTGGTGATGTCCTCAAATAAGAATCACATCTGTTGGGTAATCTAAAGCAGGCCGAAAGGAGGTAATTTTGGCCCAATACTTAGCCCGTTTACAGTATTAGATATTTTGTTTTGAGCGCTACGACATTTGTTACAATGACTTGGAACTCGTCACGTGAATATGACGAGTTTCAATCAAAATATTTTTTATTAAAATTTGTCACTAAGACGTGATAAAATCTAATAAAGAAATTATATTTTATTAGAACTCATTATTTCGACGTGATGAGATTAAATAAAAAAATATTATTTTGTCGTTATGTGTGCGTTGCGAGTTTGTCGTGTACTCTAGTTTTTGTGGTAAATTTCAAATTAGTTTAAAGATGATTTAATGGACACATGGTTTATTGGGCTAATTTTACCTAATTGGTTGGTTTGGGCTCAAAATCAAAACTCAAAACAGCCCAGTAGAATAGCCTAATCCTAGGCTCCATTTTTAGAACCCTAAAAGCCGAATAGGCTGTTGGTTTTCACTTCCATCTCAAATAGTACTACTCTTTTCTTTCTCTGTTGTAATCATCACTCTTATTTTCTTTCCTGCGGCCTTGCTTGTTTTCCCAAGTGAACTTTCTAGGGTTTCTAACTTTCCCCCCTTATTCCTTTTTTTAATTAATGTTTTTCATTTTTTTGCTTAATTTCACTAGACTAACGTCAGATCTTGAACCTTGTTGTTTACCTTAAATGCCTCTTCAATTTGCTACTTTTTTCCCTTCATGTTTGTGCATCTTTAGTTTTCATATCATTTCCCCTTTTTTCGAGTTCAAGGTTAAGATAATGTTTACTTTAAGCTTGTAGTTTTAGTGTCATGCTAATTCTGCTAGGTTTCAGGTTTTCTGCTTGACGCTATTATGATATTATGTTGTTCGCTCTTCTCAATTGCCTGTGTTCCTTTTTTTATGCTCGAAAGGGTGTTAGTCAATGATCTGTTCTGATCCGGGGTTCTGATATTAATTTTATATTTGCTTTTTTGTCTAGGGTTTAAGTTCAATTGTTTAGATTTGTCCACCTGGTTTTATTCATTCGTTTCTTTCTTTTTGAGGTCAGTATGTTTTGAAATGCTAGGATGATTTGGACAAGGATGATATAGTTCTAAGGGAATATTTACCAATTATCGTAGTATCTGCATTGCCACGCACTTTCAAAACCTCGCTGAATAATACTATGAGAACGACATTTATGATGTATTCCATGTGACTAACGTTTGTAACCGTATAGTGAAATGTTAGAATTTTTTTAGTGGGTATTGGAGAGTTTAGGAATGCTTCATTGATTACTGTCGTTCTGCTTAATTTAACATGAGCTGAAATTGAAATTTAATCTACTGATTCTAACTGTTGATTGTTTGATCAGGTTGTAGGTTATGCTAGTGTGAATTGTGATTCTAGCGAACAAAAATGGCGAAGAAGAAGAATCCTTTAGTTTTTATGGATGTGTCAATAGATGGTGATCCTTTTGAAAGGATGACTTTGGAGGTATTGTAAAACAAAAAATGCTAGCAATCAAGATTGCTCACATTTTTTAATATATTTTGTTGTTCTCCACTTTTGTTTTTATCTTGAATAAGATTACATTTTGTTTTATTTTTCCTTTTAAATTATCATTTTCACTTACTAATCAGTTTCTTTGATTTTTCAGCTCTTTCCTGATATTGCTCCCAAGACAGCAGAAAATTTCCGTGCCCTTTGTACAGGTGATTAAGTAAAAAAAATTCCATTCCCCCCACATTGACATTTTTTATGACACTTCTTGCATATCTTTTTAATCTGGATGTTTTATTAAGAATAATTCATCATTGTAAGCTTTGTTGTTTTTGATTTATCTCCCCCCTCTTTCTTTTTTCAAGAAGCATTTGGTGGTTAGGGTCTAGAGAGTTCCTTGGTTGTAATTATTTACTATATACTTGCTCATATATTTTTATGTTTCTGCTTATTTTTCTTGACTTACAGGAGAAAAGGGTATTGGATCCAAAACTGGAAAACCGTTGCACTACAAGGGCTCCTTTTTCCATCGCATCATTAAAGGTTCCATTGCTCAGGTTTGTTTTCGTATCTTAATCTAAACTGGGTTTTCTCTAGCTGTTTTCTTGTTGAACGTGGCTTAGAACTGGTATGTCTTTTTGTCAGTTACTGTTGTTTATGCTGTAGGAAACAGGGCTGATGGTCACAACTGCTTTTCTTGTGATGTAGTTTTAAGGTTGTACATACCAAGTTGTCGATCATCAAAATTGTACTAAAATTTTTCCGTAGTTGTTGACTGACATTTTATGTTTTGTGCAGGGTGGCGATTTTGTTAAAAGAGATGGTATGTATTCCTTGAAGATTCTTTTTTTACTTTTTTATAGATATCAATTAGCTTTACATAAGATCACTTTGAGGGTTACCCTCAACATGACTACCCATTGAAGTTGCACTTGAAATACACCTGAGTTTTCAAATGTACATTTTTCAGGAACTAGTGGAGAAAGCATATATGATGGGAAGTTTCCAGGTGAGTGGCCTCATGCATTATTTGTGTTATGGGAATATAGTTCATAATACTGTGTGATCTTGTAAACTAATTACATTGTCATTTGTGGAATCCATAAAAATGCTTAGACATGCTAATGCATGTAGTCTTGTACTCTAAAATAGTGGCAAAATAGCCAATTTTTATTTTCACATAAAATTATAATTACTGCTAATGCATCTGCATTTCACCTATAAATCCCGAACCCTTATTTTCAATTTAGAATGTTGTTGCTATCTAATATGGAATTCATCCATTTTGTGTGGAGTTAAGTTGAAGTATGGAGGTATGCGTTCTTTGTACTAGGAAAAGCAATATACATAGTAGGTACATTCCTTAGCTCTAGAATTGGATGCATATGTTGCCTAAATTGATACTAGAGTGCAATATGCATTTTCCTAATTTCTACACAAGCTTTCTTTTATATTGATATTGTATTTTGTGGTTCTATTTTATTGAGTACTTGCATTTTTCATCTCTGCTCAAGTTTTGTTTTGCACTATCAATGCCATTATGCCAGTTCCATAGTATTTTTCTTCGTTATTCGGAGTTCTTCCCTGAGATTCCTAGGTGCCAGCATAATGACATGATAGCTACTCGCCTACGTCCTTTTAGGATTATATTAAATACAAAAAATATGATATATTGTGTTCTGCAAACAATTCATTTAGAATTTGGCGGAAGGTCTCTATTTTTTAAATGTTAATAATTGATTGGTGACAAGGCTTAATTTGAACTCTTGTTCAGATGAACCACCCCGGCTAAAGCATGATGGCCCTGGTCTTTTATCTATGGCAATTTCTGATCGTGACACTGTTGGTTCACAATTCGCTATTACCTTCAAGGCTAATCATAATCTTGACAGGTAGTTTTGCATATTTATTCTATCCACCCTTCCGAATATGTGCTTTGTTCAGTCCAAGTGTGATTCAGTTTTGGATTATGAGTTTGTCTACTTTTGGCATGTGGCAGAAAGTATGTAGTTTTTGGAAAGCTTGTGCAAGGATATGAAATGCTGAAGAAAATTGAAAATGTTGGTGATGAAGAAGGAATTCCAACAGTAACAGTGAAAATAGTTAATTGTGGTGAAGTCAGTGAAGGTAAAGGTTGTTTTGCCTCCCTTGGAGGATTGGCTTTCTTAAGATGGGATATCATGATTTAATTTAGGCTACGCTTACCAATTTTGCATAGGATGATGCATGAGGCTTGACCCTCGTCAGTTGCTAATTTTACCTTCCCATCTTTTTTGTTATTTGCAGAGAAACGGAAAAATAAGGTGAAAATCGGGAAAGATGCTTCTGATGTTGTCAATTATGAAGCGAGAAGGAAAGGGAAGCATAAGAAATCTTCAAGAGACATACGGAAGAGGAGAAAAAGATATTATTCATCTGATTCAGAAAGTTCTTTGGATTCTGAGACAGAATCACCAGATTCTGATAGTGATTCTGAGTCGTATCTTTCATCATCCTCTGAGTCTGACATTAATTCTTCAAGTGATGACTGGCGCAAAAAGAGGAAGAGATCTTATAAACGAGAAAAATATAGGCATGGAAAAAGAAGAGATAGACGCCATGATAAAAAGAGAAAAAGACATGATAAGATATCGAAACGCAGATCAAAAAGGTTTTATGCTTGTCCTTTTATCCTTCTTTTACGTGTCTTGTCATCTAGCAAATTACCAGTTAATAAACTCAACTTTTGTGCATGCTTAGCTGTTTCTGTTGCCCCCCATTCATTGCCTATGGATTTTATTAAAATACTGGAATTTTCTTCACTAAAATAATGCCAGTTGCATATGCAAGTCAATGACGTACATGCTTAATAATAAGTATGATGCATCAGTGATTTGACATGTGCATATTTTCCCATTCTGAGTTCAGCTGCTTAAAACATTTGTCCTCATTGAAGTAGTCCTCTCACATGTGTTTTTCTTACATATTTGGTGAAAGTATCATTTTCTCCCTTGTAATAATTGACATGGGTTTCCTTAAATCTTTCTGTAATTTTCTTGTAACATTTTTCAGTCTGAGAAAAACTATGAGATAATGCTTCAGTGTCATGGAAGAGCTAATTAGCTTTGTTAAATTTCTTATATAACTTGAATTATTTTATTCTCTTTGGTATAGGGCTACGGATAGTCTTACTGATAATGACAGTGAGAGTAAAACGGATAGTAGCACTGATAACAGTGCTGATTCTCGAAGAAAATTTCAGAAGGATAAAGACCTTTCTGAGAAAAGTGGTAAGGATTGGAGTTCATTTTTTCCTAGCAATATCCTGATTTTCTGCTTATCTACTGTATTTAAGTATCTCTGATTGCACCGATTACATATGTTGCCACTTTTTTCTCCTCTTCTCTTTGGGGGTGGGGTGGGGGGGGGGGTTGAGTGTGCTGTTATTGAGTCATTTAAGGTTTTTCATCTGTTACCACACTCTTAATGGGATTATCTGCGATATGCAGCTGGGACTCAATCCCCCTCAGCTGTAGAGAGAGAATTTCGACACGGAAAAAGGGAAGAGGCTGATTTGTGCATAAAGGAGCATGATGCTTCCAATGAAAATGGAGAGCGGCAGAGTAATGGCAATGAAAAAGATGCTAAATCTGACAGAAGTGCAGAGAGAGAACCTGATGTGGTAGATGATCATCCAAGCAAATCTAGGTCTACTTTCCATTCTCAGTTATTCTCTATACTTATCGGTTCTTCCCAATCTGGTATTTCATTAATAGTTGATGAGCAGGAGCCAAAGCATGAGTCCTAAGAGGAGCATTCGAAAGAGTGTTAGTCCCAGGAGACCAAGCTGCAGCCCAAGTCCTAGCCCAAGGCGAAGTGTGAGCAGGAGTCCCCCACGTTTTCCAGAAAGAAATGGAAGTGGAAGTGCTGTTAGAAGCCTTAGTAAAAGCCCTTTGAGGGGTAGAATGAGTAGAAACATCGATAGGAGTCCAGTGAGAGCACGTTCTCAAAGAAGCCCAAGTAGGAGCCCACCCAGATCATCAGCAGGAGCACGTTTTCAGAGAAACGTCAGCAGAAGTCCTGTAAGATCTTCGAGAAGAAGCATCAGCAGAAGTCCTGTAAGATCTTCGAGGCGGAGCATCAGCAGAAGTCCTGTAAGATCTTCGAGGTGTAGCATCAGCAGAAGTCCTGTAAGATCCTCTCATAGAAGCAAAAGTAGGAGCTCAGGAAGGGTTGCACCTAGGAGAAGCCCAAACAAAAGTCCGTTGAGGGAAACCAGTAGGAAGTATCGCAGTAATTGTTCGAGGAGTCCCACCCCGGTCCGAAGGGTAAGGTCCTCTCCTGCTGATCGAAGTCGAAGTTTATCAAGAGGTGTTTCACCTGATGCATCACCTAAGCGCATCAGAAGGGGCCGGGGTTTCAGTGAGCGCTACTCCTATGCACGGAGATACAGAACCCCCTCTCCAGATCGTTCCCCTGTGAGGTCCTATCGTTACAGTGGTAGATTTGATAATGAGAGGTACTCATGCCGCCTCTTTCTTTTAAATTTTCTTACCCTTTTCTTTATCCTACAGCCAGGGATTTAAATAGCGGTCCGCGACCGCGATATAGCGGTAGCGGTGCCATCCGAAAATGCTATTATTTGACCGCGACACCCGCAATCACCGCAATAGCGCCTGCTATGCCCGCGATATAGCGGTAGTGGTGCCCTCCGAAAATGTGACCGCAATTTGAATCTCTGCCTACAGCTATATTATATTTTAACAATGGGGTTTTGCTCCAAGAGCTATTCACATAAAACTTCATTATATTCTTGGTACTCGAGTTACAGGAGGTATTCACCTCGGCGTTATAAAAGCCCTCCAAGAGGAGTTCCTTCAAGGTCTGATATGCCATATGCCATTATGTTTCTGGAAGTCTTTAATGGTTTGATTATTGGCCTGTTTTCTAAAAACATGCTATGCAGGTTCAGAGGCAGAAGAAACAGGACACGAAGTCCATCTGTGTCACCTAGCCCTCGATACTGTAATCGTCGATATAGCCGTAGCCCTAGTCGCAGTCGAAGCCCTGTTCGCAGCCGCTCTACATTTGATGCAACCAGATCTCGTGCCTCTCCAAGGGCTGGTAGGAGAAGGTCCCCATCTCAGACCAGGAGCCGATCCGAATCAAGGTCCTCATTGGACTCTCAGTCTCCGAAGCAGGCAAGCAAAGCAAGGTCGAGGTCATCTTCCGGAAGTCCAGATGGTAAAAAGGGCCTGGTCTGTTATGATGATGGCTCACCTGACTCGGGAAGGTGAATAGGGTTTTTTCATTTCAGAGCCGTTCTTCTCTTCCTGCACTGCACTATGTGGTCTTACCAAACTGTTGTTTCTGGTTTGTTGTGTTGTTGCTAGACGTTGTGTTCAGTATCTAAATATCGGATTTTAGCATTTTTAACTCACTTGGCTTGCGTTTAGGATTTTTTTTATTATAAATAATTACTCTCTGGATTATGATATTTAGGTGTTGGATTCTTGTTACATTGTTGGCGCAGTATCCTCGATAGTTTCGCTGTAGTTGCGTTTAATGTATCCCAAACTTTTCCTACAAAACCGTGAAATGAGACTGGTAATTGGTCGGAAATTAGTGGTGCGTTTATTAATTTTCTTTTGAACCAAAGTGGGTATTTAACATTATATGCTTGACATTTTACTATTACAAACTAAGAAATTATCGAAACAATTCTTAAAAAAACCCCAGAGGTTTTCCCAATGGTTTTCTCATCTACATCTTGTACTTTCTTGTTCAACATGTTGGTCATTCGTCTTATTTAGAAACCTTTTCTTGCCATTTCCAGAACTTAAATCAAAACATGTCTACAGTTAAGTTTCGTGAAACCATTCTTGAAAGTTCATTTGAAGCACAAACAGGTTCAGAGGAGCTCCAGCAAGAAGCACTACAAACCCTAGCTTCTATTACCAGGGTCAGTCCACAAAACAGGACTTTAGTAGCTCAAGCAAATGGAGCAATCCCTGCCCTCCTAGCCCTCTGCAAATCCTCCTCTCCCCTCATCCAAACGGTTTCATTATCTATACTCTTTAAACCCAAATCTTAAACAATCTCTTGCAGACATGGAAACCATCAATCATCTCAACTCCATAATCTTCTCCTCAACCTCCCCATCAGAGTCGACCAAGTTAGCCTGTTCCCTCGTCTGCAGCCTCGCCATACTTGATGAAAACAAGGCCGTGTTCGGGGTCGCCGGGACCATCCCGCTGTTGGTCCATGCAGTTTCGGACCCGCGTAATCCGGCTGCCCATTATCTGCTCAGTTCTTTAGCCAAGCTGATGCAGTTCCATGGTAACTGCACCCTAGCCGTTCGGGACGGAGTCGTCCCGGTGTTGATCGAAGTGGTGAAAAGCACCGACGGAGAAGACCTTTCCGGGACTTCCCTAGCTGTTCTGGAACTTGTTTCTAGGTTCGATGAAGGGCTGAATGCTTTGAGAAAGACGGACCATGTTGTTAGTTCGATGGTGGAGGTGATGAAAGGAAGGAGTATGATGAGCAAGGAAGGAGCCGCTGAAATACTTGTTCGGTTGTTCGAGGAAACTGAGGCCTGCGTTGTCGACGCTTTGAAGATCCCAGACTTCTTAACCGTGTTAGCTGATATCTCGGTCAGGGAATCCGCCACAGCTTGAGACAAGGCTAGTCTTTTGCTGAAGAAGACAAGGGTGCTAATTTGGATTCCTACTCTACTGACGCAAGCCACATGTTATTCTAATGGCCATAACAATGATGCTATTAGTCGAGGCTTAATTCTATAATTTTTCTTAAGCTTTTATCAATATTCCAACTTTATTCATATTTCTAAGATATTTGCACAATACCCCCCCCTTAAATTATGACATATTTCTATATTTACGGGAGCCATAACTTGTGAGTTAAACATAAATATTCATTCAATCTCTATAGACATACAAGTATATTTATTCAATTATCACGAGTATATTTATATAGCACTAACCAAATGCTCCGTAGTAAATGAATTATTGTTATTTCTTGAGGTCTTAGGTTCGAGTACCATATAAATGTCAAGGGTGTGAGTGAGCATTCAATGTCGAAAAGAAGTTGAGAGTTTTCTCTGAACAGATACTACCTTATACTTATCCCTGATTAATAAAAAAAATAAGTCACAACATATAGTTTAAACACATGTTTATTCAATTTCTACGAAAATTAGAACATATGTCATTATCTTATTAGTCCAAGTAAAATTATTTAAAAAAATAATATATAGATTATTGATGAAAAGAGAGAAAATAACGTGGGAAAATCATGTTAACATCTTTATTAATTTTTTAACAATCATTGATCAAATAAAAAAAGTATGACATCAGTGACAATTTTGTCAAAATAAATAGTTAAGTGACCAAGATAGAAAATAAGGAATAGACTTGTTACTATGGTATAATTTACCCTTATATTAATTAGACACATTTATTTTAGGGTAAAGTACACAAATGATCCCTCGACTATAGGTTATTTCACTATTAAGTCCCTAAACTATTGAAAATTATAAAATGGTTATTCGACTATAGGGTGCAACTTTCTCGAGTCACTCAACTATTAAAAATTGTAAAATGATCACTTAACTATTCATTATGTTCCAAACTCGTCATTTTTCGTTAAAAAATTAGCGGTTAACTAAGTTGGATGTTAATATGATGACTAGGATATGATAGTGGTTTGGGATCAGATTTTATCATATCTCAGTCAGCATGTTAATGTTTAACTCATAACACCCGCCAACTTTTTAATGACCAATGATGAGTTTGGAACATAATGAATAATCGGATAATCATTTTGTAACTTTTAAATTTTGATAGTCGAGGGATTCAACAAAGCAAAACTCTATAAATAGAGGACTGCTTTATAACTTTTAATAGTCGAATGACTTAATAAAATAATACCCTGTAACCGAAGGGCCATTTGTGTACTTCACCCTTTATTTTATACGGTTTGGGGCATCGGTTGTTCATGCATGGAAGCGTTCCCCAAAGCATTTCTTTTTGCTTTGTACAGCTTTTCTCTACTCATTCCCCAATAAAATTGTGGGAATTAGTTCATCTCTCTCTCTTGCTATTTTTATTTATAATTGTGGGAATTAATTTCTGTTTGGAAAAGGAAATAAAGGAGAAAAAAACAGTTTGCAGTGCAGAGCAAAAGATGGTCAAAATTTGAACCTTGAATCTATTCATTCTCCTTAATCATCTTCCCAATGGAAACATAAATCAATTACTTCATAAGATACTGGTTTAATCATAAAGTTAAAGTATAAGAATATTATGATTTATCATACCAACAATGTTGGTTTAAGTGGTAAGTAGCTTTATATTGCTTAAGCAATGTCTTAGGTTTGAGGCCTTGTGTATGAAGAAAATCTTCGTTGGGAGACTCACCCACCAAAACTAGGTATGCCAACTCGGGTCGATCCAGATTAATCAGGATGAAACCCGGAAGAAAAAAAAAAGGATATAATGATTTTTTTTTGTTTTTAAAAAATTGTACTTGCTCACAACGTGCCTTGTGGTCATGCAATAACTTCTTCAAAACCCAAAATAATATTAAGATTTGGGACCAATTTTTGAGGTGCATGGGTTATGTCGAAAATTGCAGTTTAGTCCCTGGTATTATTTCCCATTATCTTTTTTCAAAACCAAAGATAATTCTCAAAACCCTTTTGACTTAAAAAAGAATGAAATTCCTGGTACATCAACAAAGGAAAATTAGAAGAGGAAAAGGAACCCTAATTTTTTCGTATATAGTGACCGTTTATAAGGGATGAGTATGCTTCAAAGTATATATATATTACCATTATTATTATTAGGGTAAATTATACTATTACTCACTGAATTTTTTCTCATTGTACTTTCAGTTTTTCTAATTTTTCCCCTGAACTTTCGAATTGCTCATGTGGTGATTACTCTGAATTATTTTATTATTATTTTCATAATGTGACATTTTTTTATTATTTAATATAAAATAATTTAAAATATAAATTAAAAATAGAAGGTGGTCGGACACCATCTTCGACCACCATCTTCGACCACAGTAGATGGTGGTCATTCAGTCCTAAATGTCATGGATTGCATGGTTCGTCTCCACTCTTGAGTCTGAATCCGGTGGCTGTTTTACTAGAAAATGTCTCAAACCATGTGAATCTCAACTAAAACATTTCAGCTTCCTCACTTTTAATCTTCAATTCGTGGACTTCGAAGCAAGTTCTGACAAAATAGAGGTCGGATTCGGACTCATGATGTCGAGGCAATGCAACCCGTGAAATTTGGAACCGAAGGACCACAATCTACGGCGGTCGACGGCGGTGTTCGACCACCTTATATTTTTATTTTATATTTTAAATTATTTTATATTAAATAATAATAATAAATTCCACATCATATAAAAATAATAATAAAATAATTCAGAGTTGTCAAAACATGAGCAATTCAAAATTTCAGTGAGTAAATTAGATAAATTAAAACTGCAGCAAGTAAAATAAGAGAAATGGTATAGTTCTGTGAGGAATGATGTAATTTACCCTTATTATTATTAAAAGGAGACATGAACCTGTTCTTGGGTCATTCTAAGATAAGAATAAGTCATTTCTTTCTTCCTTTCTTGTTTTAGAGATTTGTGGAATAGTCATGCTGTCTGGTTAGAAATACTGCCTTTTGTTCCTCCTTATCCAATCCTCTAATTATTCAAACCATATCTCACTGCTTGAGTATGATAGAGTGAGGACCCTAATATGACTGAACCAAAAGATTAGTTACTCTACGACGGAATTAAGCATTCAGAGCTGATCATTTGTGTACTAGATTTTTACCGTATTCGATCCATTAATTGATTAATCTATACAATTTATATCCTCACTGGTTGGACTGCTACCAAAGAGGGATTTTATATTTTGGGAGCATAAAGGGGAAAACATGCAGAAAGAAGGGCAAATCAGGAAGTAAATGAAGATGAAATTGTTAATTTGCATGTGCTCATGCACTTGCCACTCATTTACATGCAACTAGAAGCCCTAAAAAGGAGTTGAAATTGGAACTTTTTTCTTCCCCTTTGGAATCTAATTTCAAATTTCCTTATCTTTTTTTTTTCTAATTCTAGTTCATCGTGATTCCCTTGTTCAAGGAAATTAAAGTGACATGAAAAAGAAAACCCTAAGCCATTCCTACTTCCAGCTCAATCAGCCCGGTTCTCAAGGTCTAATCCTCTATATAAAATACCCCAAACCCCCTTATTAAATTAAACCCACAACTTTGCTTACTTACAGCATCCCATCTTCTTTCTCAGGGTCTGCAACTCTCTGCACTTTTAGTTTGGGTACCATTTTATCCGAGCTTCATTATGGAGTTAATGCATGATCATGCATGCATGGCTGATTATGTTTTGTTTTAACCATGTTGTACAGGAGGAAATATGAACAGGCCGGGTGACTGGAATTGCAGGTCGTGCCAGCACCTCAACTTCCAAAGGAGGGACTCCTGCCAGCGCTGTGGAGAACCGAGACCCGGTGGCGAAAGAGGCGAGTATGGAAGTTTCGGTGGCAGCAGGGGCGGCGGCGGCTCATCGTTCGGGTTCACTGGACCCGACGTTAGGCCTGGCGACTGGTATTGCACCGTGGGCAACTGCGGGGCTCATAACTTCGCTAGCAGATCAAGCTGCTTCAAATGTGGTGCAGCCAAAGATGAATCGTCTGGTGGATTTGAAGGTGACAACGTCCCACGTATGAGGGGTTATGGCTTTGGCAGTGCCAGCTCTACTCGCTCTAACTGGAAATCTGGCGACTGGATTTGCACCAGGTACATTTCGTTGATTCAATATACATATATATACGTATACTGCATGGTTGAACGTAAGATTAAACGTTAGAACTGATGAACATTTGTTGATATGCTTGAACACAAGGTCTGGCTGCAACGAGCACAACTTTGCCAGCAGGATGGAATGTTTCAGATGCAATGCACCAAGGGACTCCACCACCCACAATTCTTCATACTAATTAATAAAATGAAATCTTCATTTTTGGGTACATTCTTTTTCTTTTTATAGACAACTTTGTGATAATTAAGACATTGCCCCTTAACAAATGAGTCTGGTTTCAGGTACTGGTGCAGTCCCAGGAGAGAGATGAGACAAGGCCATCCCGGATGATGCTTTCTGTCTGTCTGTCTGTCTTCGTTTTGTTTGTTTGTTTAGATGAATCATGTTTGAAAGACTTGGGTTGAAGTACTTAAGCTAATATCAAAGTATATAGATCATGCATGTAATTGATGTTATGGTATTTATATCAGTGTCTTTTATCTTCCCTTTCTCTTTGATAAGACTGCTTTTTTGTTTGTTTGAAAATGGTCCAAGGAACATTTGATCATTGCGACTTCAAAAATCAGACATATTGCTCACTTCTGCAAAGGGCAAAGCAAAGCTAAAGAGGGTTACTCTTGGACCACAATAGGGATCTTTTGTTTAAACCAATGCAAGAGAAAAAGAACACGTGTAGTGATTGAGCCTTTTATTGGCACCTAATGACTAAACCCTATTATTGTCATCTTCATCCCTTACGTTGTAAAATGTACCAGAAAATGTCATCCATTTCAAATCCTTCAAATATACTCATGAACAAGAGACGAAATTTAACGTGGTTCGACATTGTTTATCTCTACGGGTGAAATGAACAATAATCAACTATAAACATATAGAACACGAAGAGTACAAATACATGATATCACGTGTATCGCAAAATTCAGTATAGATACCAAAACCCAATATATCCCGAGACACTCTTCTAACATCTTTACAAAATTATCTCTCCAATAAAAACAACAAAAGTTACAGATATCCTAAAAAGATTACATCTCTCATAATAGAACCAACGGAAATGCATACCCTACCAATGAGTTTCATAGTTAATTAATTAATTAATCAGCTGCTAATAATTATTATTATCTTACCTTGACTGGTAAAAGGGAAAGATAATCATCTTTATACGTTGTACTTTGCAAAACAATGAAAAAGTGTTGATCAGTCTAATTTTCGATCAAATTAATTATCTTTTTTTATGATTATTGGGTGGGTTTACTTTGAGTAATCCTGCTTCAGCTTGTATATGTAAGATTTTTTTAATGAATAATTCACATAGGATTCCAAATCTTTTAAAGGTAAACTTTCATGGATCATCTTTATAAATTTGGTTTGGGTATAAAAGGTACGGACTCAGGAATTTATGTTAGAAGAGCGAATTTGAACTTATAAAATTTTAGGGGAAACAAAAACAGATTTTCAATAAAAATTATATAAAAGAATCTAAAATAAATAATAATCTTAGATTTTTAAGGGACGATCACCCCCACACGTCCTAGTCTAAGTCCATCCCTGAATATAAATATATAAAGGTAAGTGTCCCCTTTTAATACCAAAGAGCTCGTTGTAGTAAAGGGATGGAAAATTTTGTAGTTACATACATTACTATAATATTTTTAATTTAATAAAAATTATATATTAAATATTTTTTTATGAAAATACAGTTGATATAATTATAATTAAAATCAAACGATTTAAAAAAATATGGTCATGAAAATTATTTACTTAAAATTTATGAAGATCTCCTTCCTGTGAAGGCAAGTACTAGTCGGCTTAAAAGATCACAATTAAATGATGTTTAATCTATACCTGAGGATAGATTCATGGGTGTTAAAATACGACTGATTCGTGCATATTCAAAAATATTTTTGAGGGTATACATATATATTCATAACATAAAATTTTTATAAGATAAAAAATTTCAGTGTTGACATAATCAATAAAATAAATAAATAATTGTGGATCTTCTACGGGGTGTTGAATTCTCTAAAAAAAAAATCAGATTAATTTAGAGTGATTACAAGTGACGGCATATGTTGTAAAAACTCACAACCATTTGACAACGAACGCTCAAATATCCTATAGTCGTTGGTGCTCAAATTTGAGACGTCTAGGAATAACGAATAATATTTTTTTAACTACTTATATTAGTTGGTTTGTACAAACTCTCTTATGATTTAGATATTTTATTTATTTATTTATTTATTTTATTGGTTATCTAATATCATATCTCATATAAATAATTTTTCACCTCTTAAAATTTTAATATAATTTTGTATATTTACGCCCTTGAAGTTAGGTCATATGTTCATCCCTATCTATACCCATCCATTTTTTAAGTTGAAAGAATAAATTGGTCAAAAAGGGTGCATGCAATTCATTAGTGTGTGTCTGCTACTACAATCCATGATTTAGCTTTCACCATGATTCTTTGTTTCACTCTAAGCTTGGCTTTACGTTGCTTCGCTCCTCAATCCTCATTTGCTTTTTTTGATGTCAGTGAAGTGAAAGTACTTCCCATCTCACAATCCCATCATGTTTTCTTTATCAGGGTTGAGTCATTACCATTTATCAGTATTAATAGGATAAAAGCACACAAATGATCTATCGAGTATAAGATATTCTTTTATTGAATTTTTCGATTATTAAAAGTTACAAAATTATCATCTGATTATTCATTGTGTTCCAAACTCATCATTTTTCGTTAAAAAATTGATGATAATTTGAGTTGGATGTTAACCTAACGATTGTGATATGATAAAAATTTATCTCAAAATCTCAAACGACTATCATATATTAATTGGTAGGTTAACGTCAAACTCAAACCATCATCATTTTTTAACGAAAAAAAGATTTGTTTGGAACATAGGAATAATTATATAACTATTAATAGTCGGAAAACTCAACAAAATAACGTCTTATAGTTGGATGACCATTTTGTAACCGAGTTTTGATTTTGGTGGAGCTATAGTTTCTACATGGTTATGGATGGATTTGCTCCCATTTTCAGTGCACTAGTTGCAATCATTGTTCAACAATGATGGGGATGCGAGAGATGTTTGTTGGCTCTATTCAGTGGTGGAAGTATCCATGATTGGTGTACCAATCATCCCGAGATGGGTCCATCAACAAAATAAAATCAACAACTTGTTTAAAATATTGAACGTCTATCAATCTACAATATTATGTAAATTAAGCTGAAATTAAATTTTCTAAAATACTTTAATCAGTTCTAAACCTAATATAATTAAAAATCCGGGGTAAGTAAAAGGTTGTATATGTTTAAAGATGACTCTTAAACTTTTAACATTTAACGCTCACACCCCTAGCATCTATGAAACTCAAACCCGAATATCTGCTTGATTATGGAAAAAAACCAAAAAGCAACAAAGAAAAGAAAAAGACAATTGATGGGGTAAATTGGTAGATGAAAGAAGAGCACAATCATGGTTTCAAAACATCCTTTAGGGCCCCTCAAAAGCCCCTTGAAAACTGAAGAAATTTGGTTCACTTTGAGATGGTAAATGATTTGAAAAATTCAATACTGTGATGGTCAACTCGGTCTCTTACGAAAGCTGCTCTCAATCTAGTGTTGGGGATAGCCTACTATCTTACCTCCCCCTTACCCCATACATATGGAAAAAAATGACAGCCAATACTGTGATGGTCAACATTGAAAGCAAAGACGAAAATTAAAAACCCTTTTCTTTTTTTTTAAAAAAAGGGTAAATAAATCCAAATTCAAAGCATGGAAATATGAAAAACTTTTTAAAGCATTGTTTGTTGGTTTTCTTTTATTTATTTAAAGTAATAGCTTTTTAAAACCAAGCATGTTGAATCTGGTTAAAGTTTATGCCTTTTTAATCCTTTTAAAAAACCCATTTTTACAGTTGCCAAAGCTTGATGAGGGGGGCGTTTTTCTCATGCAAATTTCACAGTGGGATTGCTTTAATTGCTGCCTCATGATTGAAAGGATATAAAGGATATATTACTCATGATCGATATTGTTTGATACATCGGTAGCAATAAGCTCGGGACAAACCGAGTCAAAGAACAAGTCACTGCTTGAAAAAAGAGCCCAAGAAATTAGCTTATAGGCGACTTTGTTACAAGAACGAGATATATAAGCAACATAATAAAAAAATAGTTAATGAGGCTCATCCTAACAAATAGGTAATACTTTAAAATAAGAGTCTTTTATTTGAAAATAAAACGTTATGGGTCAAAATAGTTCAAGAAAAAAATAAGAGCTCAAGTGACTATCTAATCAAATACGTGTAGTATTTTTATCTTAATTAAAACGTTTGAAATTAAAATGCTAAAAAACCAAATAATGACTATAATAATATTAAACAAACATTATGGACGTTTTTCTGACATTATACCAATATTTTTTTTCTTAATATGAGATGGTGTTCTGTCCAAGGCTGAGCCCAGTTTTTTTATCGGTAGGTGCCTGACCTTTCATTGGCCTTGGGCTTTACACATCATAATTGGGGCAAAATTGACCCACTAAAATAAGCGGGTACTCGGATTTTAATTTGAAATCTACGAAAAATACTATAGTTCAGTGTAAACCGGTCACGTCCAGAGGACGAGTTTTACTAAATAATATTTTTTATTTAAATTTATATGTCGATGCGATAAATTCTAAAAAAATATAAGTATTTTATTAGAATTTATCTGGTTGAGGTGCAAATTCCAATAACAAAAATATTTTATTAAAACTCATCATGATCACATAAATTTTAAATCACTATAACAAATATCATAATTCACAAATAAAATATCTAATGTCGTATTGAACTAAATAATTAACCTACGGTAGTGGGCCATATTTGGGCCTTCAATTCCTGCACTATCCCCCTCAAATTCAATTTTTTTATGAGTTCCTTATTTCATTTATGGTGTTTACCTAAAATATTTCGTGCCCACCTTGAAATTTATTTTTTTTATTAGTTACTTATTTTTAGGGTGGTGTCCACCTTAAAATTTTATTTATACTCATTTTATTTAAAAAATTTATGTTGTCAACATATGTGCTCACCCTGAAAATCATCTAGGATCCGCCGCTACCTGTATTATGTATATATATATACTTATTATATTATAAAATATAATAATTTGTAAGGTTCAAGAAAGCAACCTCGCCTACCATGGCATTTTGAGATTTTTTTCATTATTTTTAAATTTATAATTTTAATATAGGAAGAATGAAAACATTACCAAAAATGTATCCATTGAGGTTGAAAATCGTAATCTAAGGGGTTGTTTGTTTATTTCAGAATGATTCAAATGCTGAATGATTCAGAGGCTCTGTATGAATTAGCTCTGAATGCGACATGTTGTTTGATAATGACTCTGAATCATTCAGAATGTATTTCTATGCTAAATCATTCAGCACTTTTTTACTGAATCAGTCAGCACTGAATCGGTCAGCATTGAATCATTCAGAGGTGCGAAACAAACGCGTTGAATGATTCTATTAAGAGGCAAACAAACAGCCCATAAGTGTCCAAATTTTGGTCAATGTCTTACACTATAGTATATAAGATTTTTTAAAAAGGTAGTGGTTTTATTTTTTTATTGAATTAGTTTGGGTGTCACATTGTCGGCAAGAACATCGAATCTGTTGTTGTCACAAGTATATTTAGGTATTGGTACCATCATTAAGTAATTATCATGTATTTCATTTTTAAATAATATTAAATAGTTTAATAAATGAAGTTACAAGGCTTTCACATATATTTTTTAATTTTTTAAATTTTAGTATGGATTTTATCCCTTTTTTTAACTCAATTATATATTTTTAAATCTTTTTGGTAAATGATAATTATATATTAGAAATAAAAAACTTGAATACATTTTCAAAACATAACTAAACTGCAAGTGAAACAAAGTTATCAAGAGAAAGTCAGCGTTTAATTTATCTAAACCAATAAACTAAGCGCATCTCTCCGTTATAGGTGTTGGAAGGAAAGGTTTGAACATTGGAAACTCAAAAATGTGATGCATATGATTAAGTGAACATGAAGACAAAGATAGCTTTGGATTGCTTATCTATCAGTCCCCGGTGTTTATTGCTGCTACCTTCATGGAGCAAGGAGGCATTCCACCATCAACCAATCCTGCAACGCTTTTAAAAGAAGCAATCCATGTAATTAGTTGTGGATACGAGGATGAGACTGAATGGGGCAAGGAGGTCAGTTAGTGAAGTATCATGGCCTTTAGTAGTGCCTAACCCAGTTCCCCTTTTTATACGCCCCAACACTTTTGTTTTTTTTCCTGTGACCAGATTGGATGGATTTATGGTTCTGTTACATAAGATATTTTGACTGGTTTTAAGATGCATGCCCGTGGGTGGATATCAATCTATTGCATGCCTCCTCGTCCAGCATTTAAGGGATCTGCTCCTATCAATCTTTCCGATCGTTTGAACCAAGTTCTTCGATGGGCCTTGGGTTCTATTGAGATTGTGCTGAGCAGGGATTGCCCCATCTGGTATGGTTACAAAGGAAGATTGAGGCTTCTGGAGAGACTGGCATACATTAACACTATTGTTTACCCCCTTACCTCTATTCCTTTGCTTGCTTATTGTATGCTTCCAGCCGTTTGCCTTCTGACCGGAAAATTTATCATTCCCGAGGTAAGCGACTATTATAGCTTCACTTTTTGCTTTAAGATGGATTTCTACCCCTGCAACCCTCTAACACTAATGTTTTCCTACCAAATTTTATGCAGATAAGCAACTATGCTAGCATGTGGTTCATTCTCCTTTTCGTCTCCATTTTTGCCACTGGAATACTTGAGCATAGATGGAGTGGTGTCAGTATTGAAGACTGGTGGAGAAATGAACCGTTCTGGACATCAGCTCATCTCTTTGCTGTTTTCCAGGGTCTTCTGAAAGTTCTTGCTGGAATAGATACCAACTTTACTGTCACCTCAAAGGCATCCGACGATGATGGCGAGTTTGCAGAGCTTTATGTTTTCAAATGGACATCACTTCTCATTCCTCCAACCACAGTACTTATTATCAACCTGGTGGGCATCGTGCCCGGCGTATCGTATGCCATAAACAGCGGTTACCAATCCTGGGGTCCGCTTTTCGGCAAGCTTTTCTTCGCCATCTGGGTGATTGCCCATTTGTATCCTTTCTTGAAAGGTCTGTTGGGTCGTCAGAACCGCACCCCTACGATCGTCATCGTGTGGTCTAATTCTTCTCGCTTCTATCTTCTCGTTGCTGTGGGTGCGTATCGACCCCTTCACATCGTATGCTACAAAAGCCGCTGCGAACGGTCAGTGTGGCATCAACTGTTAGTTCCGTTTTCGGATAATTTTATTCCTGTAAATGCTCTCTCCCCTTCATGTTGGCTATTGTGTGTATATAACCAAAGAGAGAGAGAGAGAGAGAGATGTTACAAACCATAAATCCCAGATGGAGAGACCTAAGACCAAGTACCCTTAGATATCTTTTTCTTCACTTCCATTCTTCTACAAAGTATATTATAAGTGATGAAGTTTGATCATGATGTTGTGTAATTTTAAATGTTCTTTGCATTGTTTTGGATTATGTAGATATTTTTATTCATCCAATGCTATGAAGGAGACTTGTTACTCTTCTTTTCTTTATTGGCTTAATTAGAAAATAGGTGCTCAAATTATACCGTTCGTTTGAGATTGGAGTAAAGACTATTCCTTGGTATTTCTTGATGTTTTGAAATCTAATCTTATAATGCTCTTATAAATTGGATAAATTACGTATTTAGCATCTAAAATATCAATTTTGATCTGTTTTAGTATCTAAATTTTTAATTTTTCTAAAGTCACACCTAAGTTTAATTTTTTTTTTCATTTTAGTACCCTATTCAAAAATTAATATTAATTTTTGAAAAAAATAAAGTTTAGGCACTAAAACAAATCAAAACTGATAGTTTAGGCACTAAATGCGTTAAGTTTTTAACCATGAGATACTAAAATAAAATAAAAATTAAATATTATGTATGATTTTGAAAAATTAAATAGGTAGTTTAACCTTCTTATTACATGTTATCTGTTTAGCTTTTAAGGGATAGAATTGTCGTATAAATTGATAGCTTCAACCTGTGTGGCTAATGCATCATGGAGCTCACACACTTGTTTTTCTACCTTCCATGACTGCAATGTAATTGAAGGAACATAGTGAACAAATTGTTTTACAACACGTTGCCTTGACATACAAACAATGCTATGTGTACATTTATGGCATGTGATTTATGATTTTGTTGCAATGTGGTTTTGAATGTTGTGAGAAAGATATCGCTTGACTATTTGTTTCTCTTTATAACTCGCTTGAAATGCTTCCTCACAGCTATTGCTACTGTTGTCACCATTGCCGAGATATTGAAGAACAATGGCTTGGCCATTGAGAAAAGTGAGTTTTACCCTTAACAAAGATACCTTTTAGCTTTCATTTCATGTTGAGAACTCAAACTTAGCATTGAGATATATATGCATTATATGTCAGAAATCATGACTTCTACCATTGTCATGAGAGAGGAATCGGGTGGACGACCAGTACAAAATGCAAAAGTAAGTTGAAAATACATACATAATGATTTTCTTAAAGTTACTTTATCACATGGTTCACATTAGACTGACCACTTTGGGGAATAGCCCTATTCTTTTGTTTGCAAGACTGTTAGAGCAATTAGATGTACAGGGAGGCCTCTTGTTATTGTGTAGTTAAGGGACATAACTTCTATTAATTGGTAGGTTAGAATGGAATAATATATATTAAAATTCATCTGTACTATTTATTGGTCCATTTTAAATCATTTAACACTTAATGTAAATTCTAATGAACACGGTTGAACTTATCTTGTTGCAATTTAGTATATTGTAGATTGAAATACTGCTGGGGAAGTCGGAGAAGTTTGATAAGTTGATGGCAGCTGCTGCTGAGGAAGCCTTGGATAATGAGTAATGCTAAGACAAGAAAAAGATGCACCATTAATTTTATCATCGTGTTGTTACATTTGTGAGCATCTTTAACAGTTCTTCGCTTGTTTGCCTGTGAGTGAAGCTTAGCCACTGTGATGAGATTTTAGGAATTTTTGTAAAAAATATTATGGCCGTTATTCAATATTCAAATTTGTTGTTAATTCCTTTCTTCTACGGTGCTGCATGACTGTGGTATTTGGTTTTCAGACGCAAGTTATAACAAGCACACGGTTGCTTTACTTTATGTTAAGAGGGGACGAAAATAGATTTATTAATAAAAAAAAATATACAGAAATATCTATATTACATGAAAAATTAAAATTTTAAAGGATGATCAGCCGTCAGTTCCCCTCGATTCATCCCATGCTGATTCTAAAGTCTTGCTTTCAAGATGCTTGTATTTGTTCTTGCATGACGCTTTCTATACACTGGAAACATGTAAAATCACTAGCAGGAATGATAAAATGGATCAAAAAGAGTAACCCGACTTAAATGGCTGCTAAAACATTACTCAACAAGTATTTTTTCCGTTCATAAAACATAAACTTATCTGTCTCAATTTCAAGGCCAAAGTAAACTGTATGCCAACTAATTTGACTTGCATCATTATTTCTTCCCTTGCAAACGCCGCAACCTGAACTAATCCCTCAACAAAAATAATTCAGCAGGAGAAAAATATTTAAAAATAAAAAAAAGATGAACCACCTAAAACAATGTCTTCTCATTCTTGTGTTCCAAAAGATGAGTTATTGTTATTCTATCTTGACCGGAAACTCTATGCATCGTCGTCATCTTTGTCAACCAGTATCCTTTTGCATGCTTCATAACACATGAAAGAAATTCCAGCAGCAGGTACCAACTTCATGCAACTCGGGCCCCAAACCTTTATACAGACCATGAATCCCATCTTGTTCGAGAATGCTTAAGAGTGCATGCACCACATTCTTGTAGACCTGTCTTCCACTTAGTGCTCCAACCTGCATGTGCTTACGAGCCACCTCCAGCGGGAACGTAGCACTACTTGAAATGGCCCCAGCTAGTGATCCAATTAGAAGTGTTTCGATGTTCCCAATTTTCTCCTCTTTAGAAATTTTACGGTATAATCTCCGTAAAGAATCATATGCAAAATAATTTGTGGCGGCATACGGAATTACTCCAATGAGACTAGGAGCAAGGCCTCTGTAAAGTTCAGCAGGGCCCTCCTTTCGCAGTATTTTTAAGAAAGCATCAAGTATACCATCATACATGTCCTTCTGCAAAATTAACAAGTATTTAAGCTAACACACACTTTTACTCTGTGAATTGCAAGTTCTAGACCGGGATTACCTCAATGGTTATTCGAGTCTTGACTAACTCAAGAGGATAGGTCACCAAAGTTGAGCTGACTCCAGCACAGGCCCCAGCAATTAACGAGGCAGGAATTGGAATCTTTGATTCTTCCCCAGGTTTGGGTGACAACAGCTTATTCACGGTATCGAAAGCAAATAGCTGCAGTACATGGGAAATGGATAAGAACGTGTCAGGAATAATTGCAACTCTCTTTTGACTAAACAGTACTAATATGTTTCAATATAAAAGTGCGTATAATCATAATTTATTTACCTACAGGGATAGAACTTGCAAAACTATTCTTAGCAACAAGCCAACAACCAAACACCCGTGGATACTAATATGAAGAAAAACTTAAGCATATTTAGTCGAGGAATTGAACTAAACAAGCACAACCAAAGATGACATAGTAGTAAAAAGCATAGAACTCATGGCAGCAACTCTCACCAACAATCGATCTATGACAAGCAATGCCCGTACTTGTCTTGTCCACTTCTTTCATATGTTTCAAAGTTTAATCATTGAGAAGATAAGAACAAAAAAGAACACCGTTGCAGAAAAAGAAAAATGCATCAAAAGCCTTGTTTACAACCTAGTCATACAAAAAGAAGATTTAATAATCAACAATAACAATATAATAGATATTTGAGAGTAGAATTTACGCCAACAGCCCAACACGATTGATCTACATGCTAAAATAATTACATCTTCAATGGTTTCGCATATCTCCTTAGTCAATTACATATTATATTTTAAACGTAAACCAATTGCATATTCAGTTGATGATATTTAACCAGATAGAAGCAAGTGCCGGCAAGTAGATGTTTATGAGAGATACATGTATACTAAATCTTTAGTAAAATAATGAGAAGATGCAAAAAAATAACAAAAGAAACAACAGCAACAGACAATGTTGGCTGAGGAATTAACTAAGACATGGAAACATCATTCAGTGAGAATTATTTGGCTTCGGATGGAGCAGAAAGGTGAAACAGTGTATGCATAGAGTGTTCATTATGATGAAAGTTCTTTTAGGAAGAATAGAACCATAAAGAAGACTATCCTTAGTCAATTACATATTCAATTGATGATATCCAACCACCATATCGATGACATGTCCAGAAAATAGAACAGAAAGTAAAAACTTTCTAGCCATTTTATTTACTGTTTCATAGTAGTGTCATCCAAGAATAGTTACCACCAAAAGACCCTTCAAGGGATTTAACGAAATACCATAGTGACCGGCACCTGTATTTTTACCATTACTTTTATCAAATTGCTTATCCAAAGTATCTATCCAACCGATCAGAAAACAATCACTCACTTTGATCTAGTTAAGGTAACAATCTACATTTTAGCTTGAAGAGTTGTATTGTTAACATGAAATAATAAAGAAACCAATTCAATTAGACAAACACTAAATAAAACAAGAAATTCCAGAGGGTCCGAAATTAGATAATCAATAGAAAATACGAAGAAAATACCTAAACTATATAAGAATTTGAAACAATAACAAACATGGGAAAGATTGACATCAAGAAACATAAGCTAAAACAAGAAAACACTATCATTTAAATGAACCAATATTACTTTATAGTGCATAAAGAACATCAGAAAGCTCAAAACCAAGCAACCGGCAGAGCAATATCAGTACCACAAAATGAAAAAACAAACAAACTGGACAACGTTAATAAAAATACCATTTGCAATTCAGGGATTCATTACCTCAATGGCCTTGCTAGGTGCAACTCGAATCACATTAACAAGATTACCCCTAAATAAACCTTTCCACCCATCAGTCTGCAATATATTATGGAAGACCTCAGTTGTAGAATTCCCACTGCTCCCAACCATCAAATGCGTCCTTATTGTCTCTAGTGGCGCAACGCAAGTCCTTGAAACCGCCCCGGCGATGCCACCGCTTATTAACCTTCTTAGTGAAGGATCGGAAACCTTGATTTTCAGCTTTAGGCCACCTTTCTTCTTCTTTTTCGACGCCGCTTCACCTTCCAGCCATCCTACAACCCCAATTGGTAAATACTTGGCAAACAAATCGGAAAATGGAGGTTTGGTCCCACCATTGTCACGGGGAGTTGGGGAGTTGGGCGAAACGCCAAATCCCATTCCCATTTGACCAACGCTTGCAAATAAGCCGCCTGGATAAGAGTTATTCGGTTCGAGACTCCATTGAGACCCCAAATCACATGTGGAGAAAACCCCATCTCTCTTATCATCAAACAACGACATTCCTTTCTTGCTCATAATTGAAAAACAATACAATTGAAAATAAAAACAGAGAAAATTGCTTGGAAAAAAATGCCTTTGTTCTAAGGCTATTCAATCCGTTTTTCCATTGCTTCAAGAAAACTGAGGGTGATTGTCAAGTAAAGAATCGACTTTGAACAAACAGGAACGTAAGAAAACCATTTTCGATAACAGGGTGTAAGAAAAAACCAAACCTTTTGAAGAATCCAAAGAAAAGAAGCGATAGAAACAACAGATGGATGAAAATTTAAGAATCCTTAAAATGGAAAGGGGGTGAAATACTAAAACAAAAGGGATGGATGGTAGGTGAATGAATCCGATTCTCGCAGGCAAGGGTTCCCTTTTTTTTCCTCTTTCCCTTCTCTTATAATCAGCACTCAGAAAAGGAAAGTATATTAAATATTAAAATAGTAGGTCTGCTTCGATTTGGTATGTAGGGTAGAGTGGAAGGGAAGATGACGATGTTAGGTTTTTGCTCTACTTCCGAATTCCGCTCAGCAATTCTGAAGCTGCTCCGCTGGAGATTTCAGTATTTGATGTGTTTCTTAATATTTATTTTAACAGGAAACATGGCAAAAGTATCCATTTTTATTAGATTTTTATAATTCTATTTTGGCTCCATCTCCATAGCTAGCTTTGCACCTTATATACATATTTTTGCAGTGATATTAGAGCCAATTTTAGTGCTATTATTATAGAGCATAGCATTGCTCTAAACCACTCGATCCAGTCTACATAACAAGGCGAAGCAAAGTAAAGCAGATCCTCAAATCATGCACATGTACATATATTACCCCAACTAGGGGACTTACATTTCAATGTAAAACTGTGTTTTACATTTTTAGATAAATTACCCCTTTAATACTTTAATTGTTAATTTTAATTCATTTTAGTATCTAAACCTTCATGCTTTTTTTAAAATTATACCTACAATTTATTTTTGATTTCATTCTAGTACCCATATTCAAAATTTAAAATTACGTTTTGAAAATATTAAAAGTCTAAATATTAAAACTGATCAAAATTAATAATTTAAGTACTAAATATATTAAGCTTTTAACTATGAATAATAAAATAAAATAAAAGCTAAATATTAAATATAGTTTGAGTGCTAAAACAGACTAAAAGTAATAGTTTAAATATTAGATGTGTATTTTACTACAAAAAAATTAATGGGTGGTAGGGATTTAGGCATTCCTTTCATCACTTTTGCTTCTCTAATTTCTTTTACACGATTTTATTTTAATTATCATTCCATCTCTTTTACAGTTCCCTTCAAAGTTTTTCTTCTTTCTCAACTGTAATGCTTTGATTCTCACAGAAATGACCCTGGGTTTGATAAGGAAAATGTTCATATTACATTAGACTTTAGTTGGGATAATTGGCAGCTGTGATTAATCGAAATGACAGATAAATTTCTGTTTTAATTCTAACAATAGGTATTAAAAATGTGGAATTGATACCAAAGTTTGAGAGAGAAGTAAAATTCACAACAATTAATACTGCTCTTACTGATGATATTAAGAGATAAATGACACAAATCGACCAAAATAATTATTGTTCTCTTCCGGATTCAAACACCATAAACACTAAAAGTACGAGTGTTCAATGTCAAATGACGATGTGTTGTCTACGAACAAACCAAACGTTATCGGTGATAAAAGAACAATTTTTCCGAGATTTTGGATTCGAACACCAAAAATACTAAAAGGAACAGATACCATCTTTTGATTAATAAAAAAAGATAAAATGACACACACATATATATAATGCAGGTCGTTTTAACTGCCTACCACTACAAAGTTATAATGGGTTTTCACTTTAATTCTGGAAGGAAAAAAACATAAAAACTAGAGATTTATGGGACTAAGTTCAACAATAAACTAAATAAATAGCTCAGTCAAAAAAAAAATAGAAAATAGAAAACAACTGGATCCCCTTTTAGGTAGTGTGACCATTTCCTTTCCGGGAACTTCATGTATTAGCCAAAGGGCAAAATACATGGCATTTGTGTTTGTTTTTTCTTTCCCTCGATAAAACACATCTCTACGAACCCGGAGAAAAATGACTCAATAAAAGTTTGCCTGTCATTGACAGGAAGCTGCACTTCATCAATCAAAATTACTCAAGGGGGAAATTTTAGTGGACGACGATATAGTTGAGAGGTGATAGAAAGCACTAGTCCTTGTGCACGGATGGATGGATGGATGGTAACTAAAAATAGAATGCAAAACCTAGAATTTCTTACAGGCCTCAACCTCGGTCGCCTGTGCATCCAACAGCGCTTTCCCCAAAGGATCTGAAGTAACTATTCTCATTGTTGCATCAAGCACGGCTTTCTGGTAGAAGTCATCTTCCATTTCTTTTTCCAAGGCAATGGAGATCGCTAAAGAAACGACTTCAGGGTGGTATGCTGGAGACTTTAGCTCCTCCACGCACTGCAACGCTTCATCCAGCAACCTAATGCTGAAATATTCCTCCAACAGTGCCCGTGTTTTTCTCAGAAGATCTGGGTTATGTCTGGCAGTCTGAGTTGGTGGTGGAGACATGGCAGTCACTGCAGTGGGTTTGGTAGAAAGAGAAGGTTGTGCAACAGGCTCAACTTCTAAATTTAAGTTGGATGGCCTAGCAGGAGGGGTAGAACTACCCTGCAACAAGGCACTTGTCCTACCACTCATCAGACCACTGCTACCTTGAGGTAACAGCCTTGGATTCATAGGTGTCAACTTATTGGTTGATGGTGACGGGACACGCCCTCCAGGCTGTGTACCAATTCCATCACCCCTTGGCATTGAGCGGGTTTTGGGAACCTCCCAATTACCATCGTCCATTCCAGGCATACCAGGCATCCTCCTAGTTCCCGGCATTCCAGGCATCATACCCCCAGTACCAGGATGAGTGATAGGAAAACCTCCGGGACCAGGACTTACTGGACCAACAGAAACAACACGACTATTCCTCATACTTGCAGTAGCACCTGGGCGCAGCCCAAGATTTTTTTCAGCCTCCGAATGAATTTCTGTAATTGTTTTGGCTTTCACCTACAAAAATCAATACAAAAAAGATATATCAAAACCCATCAAAACGAGCATGTCAACCATCTACCAAATTCAAGATAATATTGATCTTCATAAATTACCTCCTCACGTCTGGGAATCCAGTTGTTTGCACGTAGATCAAGGACATCACGAACCATAAATCTCAATCTTGGTGCAAGCTGAGGATTTTTAGTCAATTCCTTCAGTCTGTTGAAGTAGACATCATTTATGCGCCGTGATTTTGGAATCTCATCAAGCTGTTTACCAATAATGTTGAAAAACTGACAAATGGCCACAACATTCTCCTCAGCAGGACAAACTTTAGTATCAGGACCCAAGAGCTCCTGTTCACCATAATAAGCAAAATACACACACATGTACTAGTAAATTACTAAAAACCAAGTCCGATTCATAAGACCATGAGAAAAGAAGTATCATCAACAACCTGTACAATGTGATGCACAATCTTCTCAGGTACCATTTTCTGCTTTAGAAGCTCACCAATTAAACGAATATTACCAAGAGTCCGAAGCTTGACTATCCTTTCTTTATCTCTACGTTCCATCTCCTCTTCAGGGGTAGTCATCTGCCCCACTTCTTGCCTAAGCCTGTCAGCCCCCTCAAATGCCTCCTGACAGATATTCAAGAGGACTCGCTTAAATGTGATCTCTTTTCCACCAGGTTCATCGGATGGGAATGGAGGGAGCTTATCGTTAAGATCAGAACACAGAAGAGCATACATAGGACAAAAAGTGGGCTCCAGAACAGCCTTATCAAAAATCAGAGAAATAACACCCTATAAAGAGAGGGAGATATCATCAGTAATACGTTTACACAAATAGAAGTATGCAAACACATGTAATAAAAAAGAACAGAGATCTAAAAACCAATAACCTTCAAGATATCGGCAGATGTGATACCAGAATCAATAAGTTGACCCTTCAGAAGATCATACTTCTCAGGAGTCAACTTGTTCAGTATTCTGCACATATAACACAACCATTCAGAAATAACAGCAATTCATTGCTAAAATCATGAATTAGTTGCAGACAAAGGATTAAACTCGACAAAATCAAATCCACTTAAGCAAGCTAGTAATTTTTTTTTAAAATGGAAGACGTGGCAGCATGGACTGGAGTAATCTAACATAAGATTCATTTGAATTTTACACTATTGTGAAATTTTGTAAGAATGAAAGCATCTCACGTTCAGCAGCAACAAAAATTAGAAGTTCTAACACCAGCCACTCTGAACACTATTTAACTTGGAATTCGAGAAATCGATAGACCATAGCAGATTCCAAAGACATTCGTGGAAATGCCTTGTTTCAGTAAATAGAACACACTACAATGTGTGTTTGCTACAAATACTATTAGGCTGCCATTATGTTAAATTCAAAACCAGATCAGTGAATAATAAGATAAATGAAAGCACGGTCTACTTTAAGGTATTAATAGGAATCAGTGATAAATATGTGATGCAAGAAACCTACTAGTATGGTTTATCTTAGTCACAGAAATCAAAGACTTGCAAGATGCAAGAAATATATTTTTAATATATTTACCCTTTCACAGTCTTTAGAACACGCTCTTTGTCGGAAAGAGCCCCCCTTCTCACTGACCATGGCACCTCAGCCTTAACCAACGCTGGAGTTGGTCCTCCCTGATTCAACAAAGGAAACAGAATCTTAATGCCAAATTTGAGATACAGACTGAGATTGCTAAAGGGGTAAACATAGTTCTTACAATAACAGAATGAATACAAAGAAGCTAATATGAAGAGACCATAAGTGGCAGAGTTCCTAGGATGCTATCACTAAAATCGAAAATAATGCAATGAAAATGAGCAGATGAGTTTTTTTTTTTTTGATAGAAAAAAAAATGAGCAGATGAGTTGATAAAATGAATAAAAGAAAATCCTAAATGCACAGTTACCAGGTCTGTTGACCCATCTAATTATTATACATAAACCATTTTTAAAATAACTGAAGAACTGATTGAACCGTTGTTTTCTGATAGACCTAAATACATAGAGGTCAAGCTTTTAAGTGAAGCAGAACTGCCAATGCCAACACTAACGTCCAATGTAAATTCACCTATAGAAAGTTAAATTGACTGAAACACATCACAACATGCCTTGAATACCCACCCAACAACTCCACAAAAAAGTAGCAAGCAGTCGAGACAAACAATAAGATGAAGAAAAAGGAAATCTTAAATAGACAAAAAGAGTCTCATTTAAAGAGAATTACCCCTTGGTTAGAAGAGACTTGAGCCCTCGAGAACTGAGAGTTGAGTTGATCTTGAAGATTAGATTCATAACGGTTCCCCAATTCTCTATCCCGAAGTGATTCCCAAGACCTCTCCTCTCCAGTTGAAGGAAACTGTGCTGAACGATTACGCCAATCACGATTGTCAGGCTCAGAGTAACGAGTCTGAATCTGATTCGGCGGCTAGCAAAAGTTAAGAAAATATACAAGTGCTATCAAATAATAATTCCTTGGCAGTAAGATTTGGAAATACAGGAACTTTATCAAGGCGGTTATTTACTACCAAAATAAGACTATTGAAAATGCAAAGGCGGACTTAGAGCTTACATTGCTTTCTCCACGACTCCAGTTCTGATCTTCACCAAAGAGTTCCACTTCAATTTCTCGTTTGATTTTGAGAATCTCATCAGAAACTTCTACAGCCTAAAGAGAGTGCATTATGGCAAACAGCATAATCAGATATTCTATCAAGAAAAGCCAAAGTGCCATTAGATTTCAACCCAGTAGCTGAAACTAATTAGGAAAATGCTGAACAACGTATTCATATGGCCAACTCAATATGATTGAAACAGAATGCTAACACATTGAATAACTTGCTTGCATGCAAATAAAAGGCCTAATTGTTCTTTTAAATTTGGGTTTTAGAAGTATGGTGAATAAGGTCGTGCACTTACCTCCCTAAGATGTAGAAGCTGGTCCCTAGTGTACCGTACACGCTCACGACCCTCAAATCGTGAGTCTCCAGCCTACAACAGTAAAACAATTAACAACTCTGTTATTTATTACCCCAAAAAAACATACAATTACTTGTATAAGCTATTGTATACCAATTCGGAGGATGTTAAAAATATATTACTGAAAAAAAAACTGCGTATTCTTTCATTCGTAAATAACAACGTAATTTGAGAAAATAACAAGTATGCCACTAAAGAATACAAAGGATGAAGTTACAACCTCTCAACAATAGAATATATCTTAAAAATTTCATGCAATCAACGATAACATCGATAAAATCAAATCTCCCACCAAATTAACATCAGAGAGCACCACGGAACAGCCTCTACACTAACATTTGAAAGAAAACATCTATAATAAATCCAAATCAATAAGAAGTCTAGATCCAATAATACTGAGATAAAAATTTTTAAAAAAATAATAAAAATATATAACCTTAATGGAAAACGAAGGAGTAGCGCCGCCATGGGGACGAAAAAGGGGGAGATCGGAAGAAATGGAACCAAAGGATAAAGAGGAAGAGGATGATGATGAAGAAGAACCAAGGAGTCTGCTCCCTCGACCACCACCAGGCCTTAAGCTCAACACCGTCTGATCACCCTGCTGCATAACTCGATCTTTTCTCACGTAAGATTCAATTTCCGGCCGGCCGATAAAAAGAACAAAGAACTCAGCGATACGTAAAACGCTGAATCTGAAAGGGAAAAAGAAAAGGAGGTTTGATAAATAGAGCTTAAGGGAGATGAAAGTGAGCTTCTTTTCTTCTCTCTCTTCAGCGGGAGCGCCAAGAAGAGAAGAAACTATGTGCTAGGACGGTAGAGTGAAAAACAAACCCTTGTTTTGGAAAGGTTTTTTCCTACTCCTTTTTTTTTAGTCATTTTCTTTTATTTATGAATCCGATTCTGAATTAATATTTTTGCGTAATTACATCACTATCCTTCCGGATTCTTTCGGGGTTCGGAACTTGCCTAGATTTCTTTGGTTTTAATTGACAATTTTACCCTTAGCTCTTCTTAATAATTATTAAATTAGGTCTATTTTATTTAATAAATATATATATATATTATTTTTATTAAATAAAATATACCTAATTTAAATTAATATGTGTGTGTTTGTGTGTGTTACATCAAGTGAAATGAAGATCTTTATACTAAAAACTAAATAGAATTTTAAGTTGAATAATATATTTTTAAACTTGGATAGAACCACAAATGAAAAGATCTAAAAATATAATCTCCAATGTTAATTAATATTGATTACGTGATATAACTACAAGATCACCGGATGCATTAAGGGCATAAGGTGGACACGTGCCTATTTAAATTCGAATTTTCTTCTATTAATAATTTATTTTATCGATGATTTCTACCTTACAAATTTATTGTATTCACCTTGAAATATGAAATTTCTTTAATTATGACCTATTTTATTAATGACATCTACTTGAAATTTTATTTATATCTATTTCGTTTAAAAATTTATATCTTTAACCTATATACGTCTATTTTCAAAAATATTTTTAGATCTATCACTGAATTGTCTCCAAAATATTTTCTTATTAATTGTAAAGATAGTTTGTAAATATAAATGTTTTTAGATTAGAAAAAACATCTTTTGATTAATGACACAATTAAAATATTTTTTTTTCATATTATTTTATAAGAATGTAAAGACTATAGTACTTTTACTAATGGATAATATATGTTTAAATTATGTGATTTAAATATTAAAGATAATAATATTAATCGTAAAAAGAGTAATTTTTGTCCTTGTAGTAAACTTAATTTGTCAATTTCACCTCTATTGTTTTTTTATATAAATTTAACCCTCAAAGTTGTTTGGAATATTCATCTTAGTCTTTAAAGTTCGTTGACCATTTTGACTAACAAAATTGTAAGTCTTCTAAGTTCGTGGAATAAGGGATTATGTTAAAATATTTATTAAATACAATGATAATAACAAATTCTTAAAATTTTATTATTTATTTAAGTGAAATTAAAGTATTATATCAAAATTTTAGGATTTTTCTAACATCGTATTTAGTAAATATTTTATTATTTATTTTTTTAATGTGTCACATCATCATCAAGTCGCGTCATTATTATTGGTTGATCTGGAAATTGTTGATGTCGATAAATATAAAAGACTAACGGTTATGTTTGCCAAAAATAACTTTTTAAGGTTAGGATGGACACCCTAAATAACTTCGATGAGTAAACAGACGAAAAAAGATAAAAAATAAAATTGATAAATTAAATTTACTGTACAGAAAAAAATGAGGCTTAAGCCATTATATAATAATCCCATTAAGTTTATTCTTTATTATAATCGTAAATATTTAAAATTGTAATATTTTAGTGCATTGTTAGATATTTTAGTTTAGAGACATTTTTACATATAAATTGAATAAAAGTTCTATCGTATGATGAATTACAATAGCAGCCAAAAGGGCAAGAAATTAATTTCCGGAATCGACTTATCAGTCTCCACTTGTCACTTACATCATCTTTCACGTATGACAGGTTGATAACACAATCATATAAGGAGAAAAATGGTACTCTGAAAATCTTTCATGTCGGTTTATTATTATTATTATTAGAGTAAATTACACATTTAGTACCTAATTTATCTGTTTTGATCATTTTATCACCTAAACTCTCATTTTTTTCAAAATCATACTTAAAATTTAATTTTTATTCCATTTTAATACCATGTTTTAAATTTATCGTTAACTTTTGAAAAAAATTAAAAGCTTAGGTATTAAAATATATCAAAACTGATAGTTTAGGCTTTAAACGCATTAAATTTTTAATAACGGGTATTAAAATAAAATAAAAACTAAATATTAGACATATAACAGATTAAAATTGGTAATTTATATATTAAATATGTAATTTACCCTTATTATTTTTTTAGTATTTGTTTAGAAAATATTTATGTTTTCTTTCACCCTATAAAACTCTCCTCCCTTGGCGGCCCGCCCTTCCTTTGCGTTACCAAAGCATAAGAAGTTTAGGTGCTTGCCCTAACTTTTATCGGTTACCGCCAGACGCCCCACTCTCTTCGACGCAAATACTCAACAGTATTCGCCACGTGAACTTACACGTGTCGGTGAATTTTTTCCTCCTTTTGCTATAAGTCTATGTAGATAATCGTAATTTATATAACCACATATATTATGAGAGTTAAATCCTATTAATTAAAAATTGAAAAATATATTTGGTCGGTTGGATAAATTGTTTATTTTTATTTTTTTTTTTAAATTATAAGTTCTAAACTAACTAAAAACATTCTTATTTTCTCTTAAAAGTCCCATTCTCCTCCTCTCTAGGTAAATTAAATTTAAGATTTGTTAAAAAATAATTTATTATAAATATTTAAATATATAATTATATTTTTGAAATGTTAAAAAGTATTCAGCTAATATGAACTATTATATTTTAAATTTATCATAGTTTTACAAATTTAAACCAAAAGGTTAGGCCTTGCACAATATTTAAAAGTAAGCGAATGACAAATGAGATTATATTTGTTTGACTTTATATGATATTTTGTTACACTTACAAGGCTGCAATCATTAAATGTTGGACGAAAATGTGGAATACACTTACAAGGCTGCAATCATGAACAATTGGACGAAAAATGTGCAGTTCCACGTAATTCTTCCACTAGGATTTGTAAATTGCAACCAACTTTTTGGGATAATTTACCCAATTACAATTGAATTTTTTTTTTTCAAAATATTACACACCTTAATTTAAATTTTTATCTTCAATGTTCAAGCAATTATTTTATAATTAAAATTTTAAGAAGGTAGAATTACACTCTATTTTCACTATTCACTTTATCGTAATTTTAAATTCTCATCTATAGTAAAGACGATATAATTACACTCCATCGTTGTTATTATTCTTTTTAATTTTAATCTTCTATCTACTGTGAAGACGATATGTGGGTGTGTAATATTTTTTATTTTTTAAATTTAAAAACTTCATATTTACTATAGAAACCACAATAGATTAAAAAATAAATTAAGGTTTGTAATATTTTGAAAATAAAAGAATTCAACTATAATATCCTAGTAAATTACCCAATTTTTTCTTGGCATGTTTGTGTTTTTCTTTAAACATTTCTTGCATTCAATTTTCAATTATATGTTCAAATCATTTAGTAATTCATGTCAGGCCGACCAATTTTTTTTTAGTTTTTGTTTATCAACTTTTGATTTATAAATAAATAAATTATTTTCGATCAAATTTTTTAGAGATTATAATGAGAATGATCTTTTAAACTCAATTTACTACATGCACAATGTTATAAACTTATTCTTCTCCAATATGTTTGGCATATTTAATGCTTGAAAGAAGTTTTATTAGTTTTGGAGAATGTTTTACAAATTTTGCTTTAATTGATTAATAGATGAATGTCTTTATCAAATGGTCAAGTTTCCTTTATATAACTTTTTACCTCCTCAATGAAGGTCATATATTAATATGATTTTACGATCTACATTTTACATCTAGAACTTTCTATATAAATATAATATAATATAGATTTGAAGAATTTTCCATAAACTTCTAGAGTCTTTCACAAGTCTCCATAACATTCTAAAATTTTATTTCTAGTTCTCGAACCTTCTATGATGTTTTGGAACATTCTACAATATTTTAGAACATTATATAACATTTCATAACTTTCTAGAACGTTCTAAGACATTCCAGAGTATTTTAAAACTTTTCATAATGTTCTAGATCATTTTATTATGTTCTAGAACACTCCATAATCATCTCCAAATTTCTAGTTAAGTCTAAAAATATAGATAGAAAAATTTAGTTTGTGACAATAAACACTAAGATTCGAATTTATGTGTAACATCCCAAACTATGGGTTAGTGATTAAATTGTAAAATTTTAGAATTTGGTGATTAAAGTGAAAAAGTTGAAAGGTTCGATGATTTATTTGAAAGTATTTCCTGAAAGTTTTTAGTAATTATCAAAGGAAATAAATGGTAAAATGGTCATTGAACAAATAAGAATAAAATAATATTTAGGGTTATCTTATAACCCACGTGGAAGAGAAATGTGGGAAACAAATGTTTCCAGAGATTTCTCTCATCTTCTTCTCCTTCTTCACCGTGAAGCATACACGCAAAGGTAAGTTTTCGGTTTAGCTAATTATTTTTTAATTTTAAGATTGAGTTATGATCATTAGACGATAATTAAGCTTAAGGAAAGCTTAATTTGTTCTAAAACAACAAGATGAAAGGTATAAGAGAGATTAAAGATTTTTGAGTTCTTGAATGAAATCTTGAAATAGAGTTGATAAGTTGAATTTGAAGTTAAATTTGACTTGTCATCAGCTTAACTAAGACATATGAAGTGGTAGAATTGAAATTATAACATATTGAAAATTGGGTATGATTCTTGAAGTTCATAAAGAGGAGAGTATTTCGAGGTTTAATATGAGATAAATGGATATAAATGAGTTTAAGCATGTATATATAAGTTAATAATATGAAAGGGGATGAAATATGAAGTATTCATGTTGAATTGAGTGAATTTTCGTGCTTAAAATGTGATTTCTGGGCTTGAACGAAAAATTTCAGTTTACGCAGGGGGAACAGATACCCCCTGGGGGGTACCGACTCCCCCCTAAAGAAAAAAAAATGGAATTTTGGTTCATTAAACTAGCTTAAGCTATTAACATCAAGTTTAAGGTTTAGGCTTCTGATAATTGTTTTGGAAATTACGTTTATGTAGATATTGAGTCTAAACAAGTTCCGGAACAATCAAAGAATTAGGATTGAATCAAAGGAAGGCTAAGGTGAGTGCAATTTAATTTGTGCTTATA